AAGGGGCACAGCCTCCTTGCTTATTCCAGCAAACCCCTTCCTAGCACCTTCATCTGTTCACCAAAAAGGAAACTCTCTAAACTCCTTCATTTAGGTTTTTATGGAGGTTCCTATCATAGCCATGATTGATTAAATTATTATACATTTCAATCTCCTCTCTCTCCCCCTCTCTCTTCTCCAGGGGCTAAGACGGGGCCCTGAAAATTCCAACTTTCTAGTCACATAGTTGGTTTCTCTGGCAACCAGCCCCATTCTCCAAGAGCGACCTTATCAGCATAAACTCGAATGTGGTTGGAATGAGCTTATAATAAGCAATAAAAAATGCTCCTCTCACTTCAACCACTCGAAGTACCAAGGGTTTTAGGAGTTCTGTCCCAGGAGCCAGGGACAAAGACCAAACATATATTCCTTACTGTGTCACAACATCCCTAGACCATAAAAGTCATTGAATCCAAGCCAACTTCTTCATTTTATCAGTGAGGAGATCTGCAGAGTTTGAGGGACATGCCTAAGGCAATGTGGTTGGCTGTTTGTAGGTCTCCTGTTCCAGAGCACATGGAGCATGTAGCTTTAGGATGTCACCTCAAAGAATACGGGACTGCAATTAGGGGAGCAGTGGACAGAAATGGAAACTCCCTACCTGACCTCCTTACATTGGGCACTTGGAGAGGTTGAAATTAATCAGGCTCCATATAAGATGTAAATCCTAGAAAGCTGGAATAAGTTGACAATGAGAACTGATGGGATAGTTATGGAAAAGGCATAGGGACAGGAGAGAGGAAATGGGTCCTTGGACATGAAATAGGAACATACAGCAGATAAGGGACAAAAATGCAGCCTGAGCTGGATGACAGGTGAGGAAAGAACAAACATTTATTGAATCCTTGTTTACTCGGTGCCAAACATTTGTGTGTGTCCATTCATAGACTCCCCCTAATGAACCTTTGGGGGAGAGATTTTAAGCTCCTCTTACAGTTAACAATAATTAAGAACACTTCTCAAGATTCTGAATCTAGCAGGAATATGCCAGTCAGCTTTCCATTGCTGTGACAAAATACCCGAGAATAACAATTTAAAAGAGGAAAAGATTTTTTGGCTTACAGTTTCAGGGACTTCAATCCATAGTCTGCTGGCTCCATTGCTTTTAGGCCTGTGGAGAGACAGAAACATGATGATAGAAGGCTGTGGCAGAGGAAAGTCATTCATTCCACGGCAGCCAGGAAACAAGGAAGAGGAGGTCTAGATATCCTTCCATGACACAACCCCAGTGGCCTACTTCCTCCAAGTAGGCTCCACCTTCTAATGTTTCCACCGTCTTCCAATTAACTTATCAAATTATGAATCTATCAATGGATTAATTCATTAATGAGGCCTGAGTCCTCATGTTCCAATCATTTCCTGAAAGCCCCCCCTCTGAACATTGTCACACTGGGGACCAAGCCTTCAACAACACGTGAGCCTTTGGGGCACATTCCAGATTCAAACCATCACAAGGAGGTAGATGGACTTACTTTCATAGTTGCATAATGCCCCACCAGTGTCTCTCTAGCTTAGAAACCTCAAATGTTAAGGACCGAGATCTGGAGGACCCAAGTCCCTAACCATGAAACAGGCCCTCAGGAAAGAATCATGGAGAAGTGTGGATGTTTCTCTGAAATTTCCCATGAGTTTCAGATCTGTAGGTGGCTTTGCATTTGGACTCTCAGGAGGAAGCAGGTCAGAATCTGGAATGTTGGGGCTGGAGGAAGGGGCAGGGTGGTGGAAATGGTCCCTTCATGCCTTGTTGCCTAGGGGAAAATTGCCATTTTACATTTCAATTAGGAGGGGCACTGAGGTCAAACAGCAGTGCCACTAGAGGAAAATGTGCCCAGCCCAGCCCTGAGCCTCTCCAATTATTATTAATGAACTTAACTCTCAGAGCCGCCAACCTTTTTATATGCAAAATAGACCTTTATGGGGCCACTGCTAATCAGGACTCATTAGAGAACTCACAAGCCTCCGAATCAAACAGGGAACAACTAAGATTGGTTTCTGCTCCTGCCCTGAACCTGAACAGAAAGAGTCTGGCTTCCAAGCGGGGTTGCCCCCCAGCTGAGGGTTTCACAGCTCTGGACTCAAAGAGATCCCTGCTGACCACTCACCCTGTCCTGAAGCAGTTCTGCCCATCAGTGGGAACTTGCTCTTTCCTGAAGGGGAGGAAAGATATTGGCATCTGAGTTGTGCAGCTGCCAGCTCATCCATGGACGCTGAGCCCTTAGTTTTTCTTCTGCCTCTCTCAGTTTCTCCTTTGCAAAGTAGAAAGGATCTGTTAGGTTGGTCAGAGGACTCTCAGACTCCAGGTACTTTCAACACATGGTCATGGATGGTAACATGTTTGTGTAGGAGATGAAGGTGAGAGGTACCAGTGTTTCCTGGTTCTCATTCCACCTGCCATCTTCGACCGGCTGCCTGGAGGGAAGGCTGCCCAGAGCTCAGGTGAGGGAGGAATGGGTCACAACAGTGCACCTGGGCCCTTCAGCTGACAACTCTTGTCCTCTCGTAGGTCTGCTGTCCCTAATTCTCCGGCATCACACACCTCCCACGGCCCAGAATTTCACCCTTTTCACATAATTCCTGTCTCATCTACATGTCCCATGTTTCCATCTTGCCAGGGCATAGGGCTCAGGTAGCAGCCAAGGGGGCAAAGGATGGAGCCACTAAGACTCACCATGCCAGTACCACAAGCTCTCCAGAGACCTGCTTGTCCTAGAGCCTTGGGGTCACATGCAAAGCCAAGGCCAGTCCTGCTGCTACTGCTGCTGTTGCTGCTGTGCGTGTGTGTGTGTGTGTGTGTGTGTCTTGGCCCGTGCTCTCCTTGCTGTGTCCTGCTGCTACTCTTTGTTTTGTTTCCATTGTATTTTTAATTGTGGTAAAATACATATATGATAAAAATTTACCATTTTAACCAGCATTAAGGTATAGTACTGTATTTAATAAGTACTGAATGTACTTAATAAGTACATTCTCATTGTTATACAACCATCCCCAGCACCCCCAACTAAAACTCTGCCCATCACCAACTTAACAGTTCTCTTCCCTTCAAACATCACCTGTCTCCTTTCTGTCTGAGTCTGACTGTTCCAGGTGTCTCATGCAGCAGAATCACACAGTTCAATGTATATGCCTTTTTGCAACTGGCTTACTGCACTTAGGATAATCTCCTCGTGTGTCAGAATCCCTTTCCTTTTAAAGGCCAGATAATATTCCAGTGTATGGATATAACTCATTTTGCTTATTCTTTTGTCCATCCATGGACACTTGGGTGGCTTCCACCTTTGCAAAGCTACTGTGTACATGCTATTGGGAACATGGTATTCAGTATGTGTTCAAATTCCTGCTTTCAGTTCCTTGAGGGACAATCTGAGGAGTGAAATTGCTGGACCTGATGCTCTTCTTTCACCCTGGAGGAGAAGAGGGGAGGGGTTTTTGATGGGCCCAGAGTGCCTCCCAAGCAAGGCCCATTATTGGTCCACCTGTGCCCAGTGGTCTCACCTCTCTGGCTCCTTCCCTTTCTCCTAGCTTCCTTCACAGCTTCCAACTTCTCTCCCTGTTCTACTTCCATGTCTTCTGCCTCTCTTTTCCTCTTCTGTTCATTTGGGTGACCAGGATGAACAGAGAGATGACCACCTCATCTGTGGAATCATGACTGGTTGGGAGGGACAGGGCCTTGGAGTCTCACCTGACCAACAGCTAGGGAAGTTAAACCTCAGAGTGGGGGTGTGCTCAGGGCTCTGCAGCCTGTCAGAAACTTGGCCTTCCTCTCCAAATCCAGTCTTGTCTCAAAGCAGCTCTCTGTGGCTTGGCAGCTCTTGGGACCCAGCAGGGACAGCTGCCAATGGCCTGATTGCCTGGGACCCCTCCGGTCTGCATCTGCCCATGGTTTCCTTTCTGTTTCACTCTTCTGGGGACCAGTGCTGCAGTAGGGGTGAGCAGTGTCCGCTGAGGGTTAGCAGTGAGCCCGGACAAGGTGTGGATATAGGTGCCATGCTTCTGATGGTCGCCCGGCCCAGAATCCATCTGTCTTGGCATGCCCCAGACAGTGCCACAGAGGGAGAAGCCTGGGGGATGCAGGGCCCATGCTAGGCCCCGCACATGTCACAGAGGCCTCACTCCTGCCCACACCCAGCGGCCCAGGAACACTGACTTTCTCCCACCCAGCAATGCTCCAGCTCCCACCTGTCACTGTCCTCTTTCCTCTGACCCCATTCTTTCCTGGACAGAACTAACTGTCCCAGGAAAAGGGGGTCCCCTGATTTCATTTCCTCTAAACCCAAAGGCTCTCTGGGTCCCACACAGCTCCAGAGCTAAGTGTGCCCATTGCTGGCATCTAGGAGCAGCCTAGTGTATTTCTGCTCCAAAGTGTATTTCCTTGGGGTTAGGCCATCCTCAGAGCTCAGCCAGAAGCTTCTGGATTAGAAAGGTCACTGGAGCCTCTTCCAGAGCATTCCCAAATGCCAGGCTCAGCCCATGTACAAGAGGCCCTCATGGACGCTCCAGCTGTGTCCCAGACTCTCGCTCCAGAGGCCAAGCCACACCCAGGCTTTGCCTCCCTGTGGATCTTCTCAAGTGGCCCATCTGTCCTGACTCCTGCCACCTGGAACTTGGCAGTCAGACAGGCCATCAGTCCCCATGGGGCAGTATGCCCAGGCAGCAGGGCCAGTCTCTCACAGGAGGAGCGGTAGTGGGAGGGAACCACAGGAGTGTTCAAGCATCTGGAGCACAGAGGAGGCATTAAAATGAAGCTGAAGAGGCCAGGGACGGCCTCTATGAGGAGCAGCCTCAAGATGGTGACACAGAATCTGAGATTTCTCAGTCCTCATTCTCTCCCTTCTGTGCCAGGGTGGGCACTAGATGGCCATGTGGGGCTGGGTCTGTGCAGCAGGGCCACATCTGAGGAATGTGTGCAGCCCGCCCCCGTGGCTTCCCAGCTGCCCAACCTGACCCTTGCCCTCTGTCCCCAGGACTGCCCCCAGCTGCTGCGAGTGGACAAGATCCTGGTGCCTGTGGAGGTGATCAAGCCCATCACACTGAAGGCCAAGAACCTCCCACAGCCGCAGTCAGGCCAGCGTGGCTACGAGTGCATCCTGAACATCCAGGGCAGTGAGCAGCGGGTGCCTGCCCTACGCTTCAATAGCTCCAGCGTGCAGTGCCAGAACACATCCGTGAGTCACCCACTGACCCCACTGCTCTCCTAGAGCCAGTTAGCCTAGCTCTGCAGGTCCCCCAGCACCCACTAATCTGCTCAGTTCCCTGCTTCCCCTACCTTGCTCTTCCACCTTAGCCCCTTCACCCTGACTGCAGCGGCATGCTGGCTATGAGGCCACCAAAGGGGCCACCACGTGCCTGGCCCTAGTTGTAGCCATGTTGTGATAGGGTAATCTGCCTACACAGGGTAACAGGGGATGTTGAACCAGCCGTGGGGCCCTGAGCTGTTTGTGGGTAGATGGTGCCAGGTGCCAGGAAGATTCCTGTTGTCCTTTTCCCTGAGAGTCCCTCTAGAAGTCCCTGGCCTTTCATTCCCTGGGCCACTCCTGAGCACTGCATTTGAGCCAGCAAAGGCCCCACTGCCTCCAAACCTATACAAGGCAATGTCAGTAAGCACAGCTTCAGGACAAAACAGGTGGTAGCTAAGGGAACCACTGAGCATGAACAAGAGGGGGCCACTTAGATAAACTGGAGTCCTGCCCAGTGCTTACAAACTCCACAGTGAGTCCAAGCTCCATCATGAGTGGCCTACCTACTACTTACCCAGTTCTTAAGAAGCACACCTGTCCCTGACTGTGTCCTGCCCCTTTGTCCCTCCTCACCCAATGCCTTCTAACCACGGTTCTGGTCCCTCCCACTGTCTTTCTGGGTCACCTCTATACACCCAGATGCTCAAAGACTTGCAATGGACTTATGGACTCACAACCTTTCCAAACTGTGAGAAACCTTGTAGTTCTTCACTGTGCAAAGGGAAGACAGAGACCCAGAAGCCAGGGCAGATACAAGTCTGTGGGGCTGAGACTTATTCAATCTGGAGACCTTCTTTAAGATCAAAGTATAGTAAGTTCACAATAAGATTTGAAGGCAAACCTTAGCAGGCACCCTGAGAACAAGGGCGGGAAGGACAGCTGAAGTTCCATTTGCTTTGGGATAACCTTCCCTTTGCAGAAGGTGAGAGTCTTGCTCAAGGTCACATAGCTAATTATTGGCAGGGCTGGCTGGATTTGGGGTGCCTTCTTGTGTCATGCTGCCTGTCATTCACCCCCTAGTTGCTCCTGAGTACTTACATGAAGTGAATGTATTTAGGAGTATGATGTGGGACCAGAAGAGCCCTCAGTGAAAGACCTCATGGAAACACTCTACTTTTCCTGCAGAAAATGTTTGAGGGGGAAATGGACCTCAGAGAGGTCTACATGCTTGCCCAAGTTCACTCAACATTACAGACACTGACCTGGTCCCTAATCTTACAACCTCCCAAATCCCAGATGCATCCCCACAGCTTTTCATGTGTGCCTCTCCCAACTTCCCTGGCAGCCAGGCTGTTTTTCAGATTTCTGCAGTGTTCTAGATTTAACCTGAGAGATATTAAACACCTCCTGTTTCCTCATAAATCCTGAGACCAAGCAAAGTAGCCCTAAGGGTTTGGCTCAAGTAATTCTCCCCCAGTCAAGAAGGTCTCGGTGGAAACAGAAAGCCTGGACCCCACATTTAACTCTGCAGATGCAGGTGGAGATTTCAGGACAGAAGAAAATAGCTTTGTTTCCTGGGAGACACTGCCCAGGGATGCAGGGGGTGGGCATCAGGAAGGAAGTCTGTGGCCTCAGTGCCCAGAGAGGGGCACAAATGTCACAAATGTCACAAACACCATAAAGGCCCCGTGCTCAGGCAGGTTTGGTTAAACAGACAGAGCACCCCAGCATGGTTAGCCCTGTCAGCCCCTGGGTCACAACTCCTCAGTGCCCTGGAGACTAACCCAGCTTGCAAGCTGCTAGCTGAGACTCTAACTGTGGAATTGGAGGCAGATTGCTTTGCAGTGTCACAGGCACTTCCTAGGCCTAGAGCTGCCTGACCCACTGAGCTCTCGGCTGTCACCAGGGACTCCCTGGGTGTGGGGCTGAAAGCAGAGCACAGAAGACCAGGACACAAAGGGGACCTCAGCAACCCTAGGCAGGCAAGTGCTGTCTCCTCCTCTGTGGTGTCCCCAGGGGATCATAGGAATGGATCCCAGTCAGCACCTGTGGGGAAAGGATGGAACAGTGTCGCCATGTCTGTCTGATGTTGAATTCTAGGATTTCAGAACTCAGGAGCCATACGGCTGCTCAATGGGAAGTTGACATCTGGAGACTTGATGTGCCAGGATGTGATAGGCATTTCTAGCTCCAGCCCCTGCCCCAGGCCTTCATGCCCCTGAGTGTCCAAGCTCAAGCACTTCCAGATGTGCTTCCAGTAGTGGTGGGCACAGGATTGGCCTGCGAGCCTGGAGCCTGAGGCTCTAACCACTGAAGGTAGTATCCAGTGTCCAAGTTCAGGGCCCTTCCCCTGTCTTCCCTGAGAGCTGGGGTGGGGGTTCCCCTACACTCTGGCCTCTGTAGCTGGGGGCTACTCTGTAGATCCAACCAGTGCTGGGACCTCCAGGTCAGGGCTCCCAAAGCACCTCCGCCAACTTCACCCGAGTGACTTTTTTACCCCGAGTACTTAGAAAATTTGTTTCTCTCCATTTTAAGTCTGAGACACTGAGACAACAGGAGGGTTACCCCAAAAGGAGCCCCATCTCCCCACCAGGATCAGCTGGGATCTCAAGTTCAGGAGGGCTCAGCTCTCACTTTTCCCAGGACCCTCTCTTTTCTTTGGGGTAAGGATCCCAAAGTAACGCTGGTCTCTGCCAGGATGTCACTTGCTGCCAACTGAATTTCTTAAAAGATATTCCTTAAACAGGGGAAAACCCCTTCTGCCTTAGTTATAGAAAGCTAGGTACCATCATGTAGAAACAGACCTGACAATATCTTCTAGAGCTTGTTAACAGAGGGGGTTAAAAGGCCTACATCAGGCAAGTGTCCATCCCCAGATCACACAACAAGTAAGGTACAAATTCAGAGTTTGAACCATTTCCTAACATACCACCTAACCCAAGGTTAGGCTAAAAACCAGTAGTGGAGTGCTGTATTCCCAGCTTTGGTGTTGTCCCTGGGAGCAGACTCTGCTCAGCCTCAGAGAGAATTGTGTAGAACAGATTGTTTTGTTTTCTAAATCTATAAGCAATCTGGAGTGGGTGGAGGAGAGCAGATCTAGCAATGAAACCCCTGGGTTTATGATGGCAGAGGAAGTTGGTCACAGAGGTCTCAGAGGAAAGCAGAGAAAAGGGGGACACAGGGGCAAGAGTGAGCATGGCACCAGGCGGAATGAGCAGGTGGAATCCTTCCAGCCCCACTATTTAGGGACAACCCCTGAGCCAATGACTGCCACCCCTGGGACAGTGGGAGGAGAAGAGGCAGCCCAGCCACGGAGGGGGAGCCACCGTGGGGACGCATGGCCTACTTTAGACCAAGGCTCCAGGAAAATGTCAAGTGCTGCTAATAATAGAGCTCACAACCTCTTCTCTGATGCTGCAGTCATGCAAGCGGAAGGCAGCAAAGGGCGTGGGCTGGCTGGAGTGCTGGTCATGCAGGCCCGGTGCCCCAGGCCCAGCTCCACAGCCTCACGCTGTCTCACATTTTACCCAGACACTCTACCATGTGCAGAACAGAGGAGGGGAAGGAGCTGGGCACAGAAATTGTGCTTGGCACACAACTGAAAGGAGGGAATCCTAGAGGTAGACAAGGCACATGGTAGTGTCATGTTTTGTTTTTGTTTGTTTATTTGTTTTTTATGGTACTAGGGATCGAATTCAGGACCTTGCATTTGCACGGCAGGGGCTGGAACCACTGAGCTAAATCCCCGACCCCAGTGTCATGTTTTTTAGGCCTGTCTATCCATGTGGCAGAAATTTCCAGTAAAATATCTCAGAGTTTAAAAAGGGACTGCTTGGAGGCAAGAATGTCTCAGTTCTGCAGAGATCTTCTCTGCTTTAGAAGGAGGAGAAGCAGAAGATCACACTTTCCTGAGGTAATGAGTACAGTCATCCATTAGCCAAGCCACAGTTTACCAGGCCTTGATTGAGACACTTAACCTCCTGACCTCCAGGAACCTGTAAGCATCCAGCACAGGCCAAGCTTCTTCGTGCAGATTAACTGCTGGCTGATTACAGAGAGCTATATAAATGCTAAGTGGGGCAGAGGAGGGGAAGGCCTGGGGGATGGGAGCCCAGTGGCCTGAGCCCCTCAGCTGTCAGAAGAGGCACAGTACCGGCCATGCCCATGCAGGGCACAGGTCATCCACTACCCCAGAGAGGGGGCTTCCCCACCACCAGTGACTTCCCTCAAGACTGAGGAGGTAGTGGGGAGCACCTGGGGTTAATAGTTTCTACAATATTTCATCATTGTGACCCCAGGAATTGGGGTGAGAAAAAGAATACCATGACCAGCATATTAGATTCTTAAAGTCTTTTCTATTTTCAATTTTCTTCAAAATGAAAAAGCACATGAGCATGTGCATGCAGGCACGCTCACACACATGCACACCAGAACACGTGAGTTTCTCATATGCAGCACACATCCCCATATGTACCAAGTGTCTGGCACATAAACACTTAGTACACGGCTGTTATGACGATTCTACATAAACATAAACACAGGCAGCACAAATAGAGTTTTACAGAGTATCCCCAGGTGTATACACAGATTAAAATACACAGTAATACTGGGGAGCTTAGACTATGTGACAAGCACAGGGCTCAGGGCATTGTATGCATTATCCCGAATCCTCACCATCCTAGGGGAGATATGCACTGGTTTTAATTCCCACTTAACAAATGGAAACCTGAGGCTTGGATCGTTTTGCTTATGTTCAAGCATCTGGTCGCTGTAGGACCACTTTGTGGCTCTGTGTGTGTGTGTGTGTGTGTGTGTGTGTGTGTGTGTATGGACATAGGGGTAATATGTACAGTAACTGATCTTCAAATCAGCACATGTGTAAACACATTTGTGTACCCAGATACTCACCCAGGCAGATTTTCTTTCTCACCCAGGCTTTCATCTCTGGGGGAATCTCAGGACCTTCCTGAGAGAGCCCTGAAGGTTCTATTGATCTTTGGCTCACTGGTGCCCAGTCAGCACCTGGTACTTTCCCTTTGGGCTCTGGATATACCCAGCCTAGGAGCAGAAGTGGGGCTCCCATCCTGACTTACCCACCACTAACATCTTCTGAAGGCTGAGCTCATGGCACCAAGCACTGCCTACAGGTGACCAGATGGTGCTCAGTCTAAAGTAGAGCAGCCAGCCTTTCCCAGAAACATCTAGCTGGGAGTCTGAGGCCCTGGCCACCCCTTCCCACTGGGGCCTTGGGATGGGGCCAGATGGGAAGAATGAGAAGAGGTGGAACCCAGCTAAAGGAAGCAGATAGAAAGGGAGCCTGTAGGGAGACCTGGCCCTTTCTCTCACCGAAGGGGGCGCACCTGTTCCTACACACCTGTCCCTCCACTGGGCCAGCCCTGCATTTTGCACACTGTAGGGGTTCTCAAACTTTAGTTGGCTCTGGAACCATAGAGAAGCTCTTTTGCAATGTTCCCATCTCCAGCGAGTCAAATTCGACAGGTCTGAAGTGGGCCCGAGAATCTGCAGCTCAGCCCTGCTTCTCACGGAGAGGTCCTTAGTTCACTGTAAGTGGTCACAGTGGCAGAAGTTTGTGAGAAAAGCAAAGAGAGGTTGGGATGCTGCAGCCTGACCCAGCGCGTAGACTTAAGCTCTCGGGATGTGATGAGGAATCTCCCTTTATTCACAGTTTCCCTTACCCGTGGCCAACCACAGTCCAAAAATCTTAAGTAGAAAAGTTCAGAAATAAAAAATTTATAACTTTTAAATTGCAGGCCTTTTCATGTAGCCTGATAGAATCTGCAGTTGTTCATTTTCGTCCTACTAGGATGTGACTCATCCGTCAGGTCCAGGGCTTCCACACCATATGTTACCTGCTTGTTAGTCACTGGCTGATAATCACGTTATCAGTCACATCATTGAGAAGCAGACAGAGACCACAGTCGCAACATCTATTATGATACACTGTTATAGTTGTTCTATTTTATTAGTTACTATTTTTGATCTCTTACTGTGCCTAATAGATGAATTAAACTGTCACAGATGTGTATGTACAGGAAAAAAGAAAGCATGTATAGGGTTTGGCACTATCTGAGGCTTCAGGTATCTATTTGGAGTTTTGGAACATATCTCTCTGGTAAAGGATGACCACTGTCCTGGGTGATGAGATGATCAATATCTCTGATGTTGTTTCTGCAAGGATAGGGAACTTTGCTTTATTCTTTGGACCCAGGTGTTATCAGTCGCAAGAGGGATTCTGTGAAGGTGTGGATGGTGTGATGCAAACCACCTCTATCATGGGAAAAACACCAAACATGCCTCCCTGGCCTGGGCATGTGGTTGCAGGGAGTTAAAAATTTTGAGTGCTAGAGTAGAGCCTGAAGAAGCCTGAATACACATCCAATTTGTGTCATTTGGGACAACATCATGGCATGTTTACGCTGGGGCTCATTTAGGGACTCAGGGAGAGTTCTTGGACTGAGGACTATACCATATCCTTTAGAAGTTTCTACAAATGGGCTGCAGAACTATTCCTGCCCACACTCAGAGACATGCACCCTGGACCTTGAGAGTCTCTCTAGGCAGACATTCCCAGTGCTTGTGGCTGTCCTCCCTGTTCCCCCTGGGGAAGATGTTGTGGTCTCTTGGAGGAGGGAAAGCACGGAAGGGGTCCCATGTAGCCACCAACATCCCCACAGCCCAGCTCCACCAAACTTTAACTACATTAAAAGAGCTCATTGCAGGCCGGGGATTTAGCTCAGTGGTTCTGCCGCCTGCCTCACAAGCGCAAGGTCTCAAGTTCGATCCCCGGTACAAAAAAAAAAACTCATTGGTTTTGCAAACACAACTTCAAACCAAGTCCCCTCTCAACAAATTCCCAGATCTCAGCTACTTCTGTACAGAAAATCTGTCTCAATTCCATTCCTCTGTCCTACCTCCTGTCGGGGCAAAGTCTGGTGGAATAATGAGAAAATCACCAGGCAGGGATTGGAAATGCTGCCCAGGGCAGGGTCTGAGTTCCCTCTGCTTCCCTCCTTTCCTTGGGCACTGAGAAAGCACCTGCTGTCAGAGGCTGGGCAGGGCCTGGCATACTCAGGCTCTGCCCCCTGCACCTGCTCCTGCTCCCCAGCCTTCACCCCCTTTTCTTATCCAGGACCTATTCAGGTGGAGTAGGTGGGGCTGGGAGGGTGGGGGTGGGATGAGCGACCCTGTGCAGGCACAGAGGCAGCCAGTATGGGACAGCAGCGTGACAGGAACCCGAGGTGTGCCTGGCTTTGAGCCAGTGAGTGCCTTTAGGGTCTCACCCTGAAGGATTTCACAGTGCCCCTGTAAGCACCCACCTGGCCTTTTGCTCTTTTATCTCCAGCCTCACATCCCCTGAAAGGCTGTAGCTCCTTCATTCTTACTCTCTGCACCCACTTCCCCTGCTGGGGAGTAGAGTTCCCTGGTGTAAATGTGGGCCTGAAGAGGCCTCATGGCAAGTTTCCCTGGGAGGAAGAGGGCTCCTTCTTGGATAGACTTCCTGGGGAAAACCCAGCCAGGTGAGGGTAGGCTCCCTGCCTGCAGCCTCCTCAAGACCCATGGTGATGAGCCCTGGCTCCTGGCTCTCTCCAAGGTGCTTCTTGATCCAATCTCCACACAGGTGTGCTAGGAATCCAGGCCCCACTTCTTTCTTTTCCTCCAGACCCACCCAATATACACATGTATGTGTGCATAAAGGAGTGTACACACCACACATGCACACCACAGGCATGGGCCAGTCCTTAGCCCTGTGTGTTCTTGGGGACCTGAGGCTGAGCATGCAGACTCTAGAATTCTCTGTGACCAGCTTTCTTCTCTTCTCCCTGCCTGGACGCAGTATTCTTATGAAGGGATGGAGATCAACAACCTGCCTGTGGAGCTGACAGTTGTGTGGAATGGGCACTTTAACATCGACAATCCTGCTCAGAATAAAGGTGTGGAGGGACAAGCATGGTGGGAAAGGCAAGGGGAGGGATTGAGGGTGGGGCACCCCCACTTGTCAACCCTTGATACCTCGCTCCAGCTCTGAGTCCCTCCCCCCAGCCTCTCTACCACACATACTTCCCTGTCTCTTCTTGGGCCTGGGCTCCTGGCTGGGGGCTTGTGGAGGGGACCAGAAAAATGGACTTGTTGGGAAGAATTGCTTCCCTGCTTCGCTCTCTCCTCAACCCTGGGGTTCCTTTTGTCTTCTCTGCATCAGAATGACTAAGGGGCAAAGATGCCTTAGAACGCTCCCTCCCAGACTGGGACTGCACTCCTGGTCCTCTTCCCTGTCCCATTGTGGCCTACGTCATCCCAAAGCACCTCTTGCTCTTGCCTTCTGCAGTTCACCTCTACAAGTGTGGGGCCATGCGTGAGAGCTGTGGGCTGTGTCTCAAAGCTGACCCAGACTTCGAGTGTGGCTGGTGCCAGAACCCAGGCCAGTGCACCCTGCGCCAGCACTGCCCTGCCCATGAGAGTCGGTGGCTGGAGCTGTCGGGTGCCAACAGCAAGTGCACGAATCCCCGCATCACGGAGGTAAGCCGTGTGAGCTGCGTTGAAAGGACACAGTCTCCAAACGCCTCTGTGGCAAGGATTTGAGGCTCCATCAGTGGCAGAGGCTTTGTGGAGGCCCCAGGTGCAGAGCCCAGCCCAGGGGAAAGGGTGAAGGTTACAGTGGCAAGGCCTCAGGACTCACCCAAAGCAAGACCTAAGCTGTAGGAGCAGAAATAGATTTGCACACAAGACTAAGAAGGGGCCCAGGCAAGGCTAAACATACATGTATGTGGAACACAGAGCACAGAGTCTGAATCCGGGTTCCACTAACTCACTGCAGGGCACCTTGGGGCTAATTCATCACTATCTCCATGCCTCACTGTCCTCACCTGTACAGGGAAGGTACAAGGATTGGATGAGAATGGACTGTATTGTAGATTGCCTACTTAGCTCTATGCTGCCGCCTCCTCCTCCTCCTCCTCCTCCTCCTCCTCCTCCTCCTCCTCCTCCTCCTCCTTCTCTTCCTCCTCTTTCTTGTTCATGAATATCATTAAAATCATGACCAAAGATGCCTAAACCAAGGAAATTGCTGCCCTGGGGTTCATTTAAGTAGCTCACTCTCTTCACTTCCCCACTGCACACTGTGGCAGAAAGACCAGCTAAGATATCCCTTTTTGCTGTGGCTGGAGTTCCTTGCCCGCCTCTTAAAGTAAGGAAGAGAGGCGCATGTGTCTTTCTGCATACTCAACAGTGGGACCATGTCTCACACCTGGCACAGGCGGTAGCGTGTGATAGGAACTCAGTGCCTCTTTGCCATTGTGGATGCTGGTTATGATAATAGCCAGACAGGTAAGAGGTAAGGGAGAGGCAGAAGAAGAGGAAGAAAACAGCTCAGACTCTTTCAGTAAATGATGAGAACAAACTGGTGCCTGTAAACACGCATTGTCTGAGAGTCTCGAAATGGTCGGCACAGTTCTGGCCTGTTGTATACGTGCAGAGCCTTAGAGTTGACATAGTACTTTCATGTATCACCAGTCTTCACAGCCGCCCTCTTGTGTTGGATTCCTAGAGTTGCTGCAACAAAGTACCACAAACTACGTGGCTTAACCACTAGAAATCTATTTTCTTACAATTCTGGAGATAGAAGTTCAAGACCAAGGAGTTGGCGAGGTTTGTTCCTTCTGAGGACTGTGAGGAAGGAACTGGTTCAGCCTCACTCCTGTGCTTGTGGGTGACCCTCTTTCCCCTGTGTGTCTTCTCATTTCTCCCCAATATATATGATCCTCTGGGTCTTACTTGCCCCTTCATATGAGGACACCAATGATATTGGACTAAAGCCTACCCTAATAAACTCATTTAAGCTGCATTGCCTCTGGAAAGACCCTACTAGTGTTAGTTAGGGCCTCCATAAATCAATCCGTGGGGTGGACGCAATTTAACCCATCACACTGGCTGAGGGCAGGGCTATTATTGCCCTTTCCCACATAAAGAGACCAATGCTCAGCAGTGTACTTTTGCCCTGACCAGTATCTCCTGAGTCCTGGGTTACTGTTCTCTACTGCAGTGGTAGGACTTTACACCCCCACTCACAAATTGTGCACACACCAGGGTTGTGTTACAGCCAGAAGAGTCTTCACTTTGTGGGTGAATAGCCTCACAGTAAAGTGGCCTCACAGGATGACCCTCAAAACATGTCCCACACCTCAGTCCTTTCACCATCCACATTCCTGGTTATCCAGCCATGGGACGCTCCACTCAGCCCTCTTCCAGTCCTCCGCATGGGGAGGAGCTAAACAGAGCAAAGTGGGGGCAAATATTGGCACATTTAACTTACAAAACTGCAGCAAGATGACAAGGGTGGTGCCCCTCCTGCAGCCTGTGGCCCCTTTCTCTCCTTCCCAGCTCACCCCACCCTGCACGTCCCCTATGGAACTGCTGCCCCCACGCCATTAATGAGAAACCAGCCCTGGGGATACGGCACATGGCAGCCCCTAGTGTGCTGGGCACAGCAGTCAGAGCGACTTGCTTTCTTCTTGGCCTGGGCCCAAGAAAATCACAGGGAGGAGGTGGCAAATTAAACAAATCTCCCTGCAATGGAGGCTATTTACTGCCTCCATCCTGGCATCAGCCCTCCAGGGAACCTGGTCTGGGCCAGAGATAAAATTTCTTTTACAGGATGACAAGCTGGGGCTGGAATTTGATGTAGACACTGCTGCCAGGTGCTGGGGGCACACTGGGGACTGACTGTCTGGCCAGGCACTGGGGATGAACCTAGACACCCTCTCCCTGCCTTCCTTGGTGCTGCCTGCCTCTCTCATGGAGATACAAGTTTGTGTTTCCATGGAAGCTCTTTTTCCACTACAATGGGGACACACAGTACAATGTCATCCACTTGCAAACACGCATGCCCACATGAGGGATGTGTAAGAGGCAGGAGGTGGCTGGCCTGTTGAGGGAAAACAGCTCCCCCAGCAAAGCTGCTGCTCAGGGGCAGCCAATCCTAGTGCCTTTGCTTCCCCTACTTTCCCCCTCACTCAGGATGGAACCGCAGTTGTGACCCTTGCTGGGTGGGACAGTAGCACATGCTGAAAAGGGCTGGAGGCTCCTGCCATTCTGATCCCCCGACATGAGCCAGGATCCAGGTATAGGTGCACAGAGGCATTAGCAGAGGAAAGGAAGCTGTCTGGTAGTTGAGGTATAGTGCTCATGATAGGATCTTGTTGCCTGTCCATAATCATCCCTCAAAGCTGCCCCAGGCTGTTGAGTCCTAACTTTCCAATCATGGTTTTAACACAATGGTGGCATCTTAGGAGGAAAAGCCAGACATGTTGATCACTGTACCAGGATAAAGTCTAAATTAACCCTATCCCCCAGAGAAGCCAAACAATGAAGGCACAATGAAGGCAAAGTGTGTGACCAATGCTCCTAAAAGTCCAGAAAGGTGCGGTTTTCAATACTGTTGCAACTCATGCTAAAATACAATGCTGCCCTGACAAGACCTCAGGAGCAATGAGACACAGTCCCTGCCCTCAGTGGCTCAGGGTCTGAAGAAGGGCTGGGAGTGGGAAAGATGAGGAAGCAGACATAAATGATTATTATTATCAAACAAAGTAGAAAGAGAAGGTGCCTTGAAATTTCAGTGGAGAAAAACATGTGGTTATGGGAATTGACATTTGGGAAGGATCTCCAAATGTTCATGGACTGATCCTGGGTGGGTTGACAGGAAGATTTTATTTTCCTTGAAAGTAGATCTAACATGGGCAAATGCCAAAAGACTTTAATTCTAATTTTCTGCTAATTACCCAGTCATACTGCAGTTACATTTCATCCCCTCATCTCTTCTTCTATGAGATGGGAAGATACACCAGGGACTTTGAACACAGTTCCTGAGACCATGCACAAATAGACTGCTTTACCCAAGGCCACAGCCCATTAACGGCCCCAGACTGTGGATGTCTGTGAACTTGGAACTACTCAAGGGATTAGCACAACTGAAAGAAGAACCGGCAGCCTCTTGGTTGAATTACAGGTGATCAGAGGCACATCCCAGAGCCTATACAATTTCTTCTCTTCCTCCCTGCAGATAATTCCAGTGACAGGCCCCCGGGAAGGGGGCACCAAGGTCACCATCCGGGGAGAGAACCTGGGCCTGGAATTCCGGGACATTGCCTCCCATGTCAAGGTGGCTGGTGTGGAGTGCAGCCCTTTAGTGGATGGCTACATCCCTGCGGAACAGTAAGTGGAGGCCCTCTCACATGTGAAGGGCAGGAGGGAGGGAAGACAAGTTGATACAAGCTGAGTATCCTTTAGTCTAAGTGCTTGGGACCACAAGTGTTTCAGATTTAGCGTTTTTCAGATTCCCAAATATTTGCATATGTTTAGTGAGATGTCCTCCTGATGGGCCCCAAGTCTAAACATGACCTTCATTTATGTTTCATATACACCTAATACACATAGCCTGGAGGCAATTTGATACAATTGTTTTAATCATTTTGTACATGAAATTAAGTTTTTTGGTGTGGAATTTTTCACTTGTGACATCAAGTTAACACTCAAAAATACAGAGTTTGGAGCATGTCAGAGTTTGGGTTTTTAGATTAGGGAGGCTCAACCTATATGAGGAATGTCCATGTCAACAACAGAACCTCAAAACTGCAGTGGGGGAAAAAGAGATGCCTCCAGACATTCCAGAGTGCTGGAAGTACCCCACACATACACTCCCCACCTCCAGCTGCCATACTGGGAAAGTACAGAGAGGGGAAGGGGTGATCACAAGGAGAGAAGAAAAAATGACGCTACCTACCTGAGGCCTGGGGCAGAGGTAAGGCAAAGCAAAATTAAGGTCTGCCAGAGAAGCATGAATTCAGTTCTCCGCACTGTCTCTAAGTCCCAACTCACAGTTAGATCTATGGAATGAGATAGAACACCCAGGAAAACAATTCTGACATATAAAAACTTAATATGTAAGGGATGTGACATTTCAAATCAGCAAAGAAAGACAAGATCATTAATAAATGGTGCTGGTTAACATCCTGGAAAAAGTACAATATCAGATCATTATTTCACATTAGACAACAAAATAAATTCCAGATGGATTAAAGAGTTATGGACAAAAAATGAAACTGTAAAATAAAGAAAACACAGGTGAGAATTTATTTGATTTCAGGAAGAAGGCATTATAACTGCAAAGAAAAGATATTATAAAGGTAAAGATTAGGGAATTTGAGTACGTAAAGCTTTAAAACTTGCATATCAAAAAATCACTGTAGGCAAATAAAATTGTGAGTGATAAACCAGGAATATGATTAGACCCTATCATAGTTAATAGTTTTCCTTAACAAGTTAAAAGGCCTTATAAATAAAAGAAAAATATCACAAAATGGGAAAAGAGCATGAATGTACAATATACAAAAGATGTACAAAGGACTAAAAGTCATAAAAGTGCAAATTAAAACAATAGAGAGCAAATTTTAGAAGTAAATACCCGGTGTAGACAAAAGGCATGAGAAGTAACAGGAGTGAACAGTTACCGATTCACTCATGGTAAGGATAAATTGGGACAAACTTTCTAGAAGTCATTTGGAAATATGGGTCAAAAGTCTTTAGCCTGGCCACCATACTTCTAAATCGTTCCTTAAACAACCAGATTGTACAAATGTTTATTTGCAAGAATGCATATTTCAGCTTTATTTATAATAGAAATTCAGAAGTAATTTGTACGTCTAAAATTATGAAATTTTTCAATTCAATAAATTACTGTTCAGATGCACCTTAACTTACAATGGGATATTTGCTGATAAGCCCATCATAAATTGAAAATATAATAAATTCAAAATGCATTTAATACACCTAGTGTGCCAGTCATCCTAGCTTAGCAACACTGTACACAATAGAGTGTCAGCTGTTTCCTGCATGATGATGGCTCTTTGGAATCTGTGTCTCACTGCCACCATCCAGCATCGCAACAGAATATCATAGGACACATTGTGAGCTCAGGAAAAGATCAAAGTTCACAATTCAAAGGGTGGTTTCTATGGAAGGGGTATCACTTTCACATCATTGTAAAGTGGAAATATTATAAATCAAGCGATCATAAGTCAGGGACTATCTGTACATGCTGTAGATAGTACCTTACAAAGCCACTAAATCTGATATTATCAAAGAATCATGGCCAGGCATATATTCAAGGTATTTCAAGCAAAACCATAGATTACCAGGCAGAATACAGAATTTCTAATTAATTCTGTAAAAGAAAAAACAAGATTGGAAACATACATCAAAATGTTGACAAAAGAAGTCTCTGGGTGGTGTCTTTGCTGAGAATGATTGTGTATGTATGACAAGTGCTTTTATGTCTCTTTCTGTATCTTTTCACATGGAACATGTACTAATAATGTTATCTGTGCAGAAAGGTTATATATATATATATATATATATATATATATATATGCTTTTCCTCAGAAGTTCTTTCTAAGAGAGACACAAAAGGTAGATACTGTAAAGTAAAACAGCCAATTTAACCACAAATACTTTTAAACTTTCATGTGGCAAAAGATACTGAAACCAAAGTTGAAAGAGATGACAAATGGGCAGAAAATAATTGTGATATTGACAACAGACCAAAGTTAATACTCCTAGTTCAGAAGATCCTACATAAAGACAATCCATCAGAAAAATAGAGAGGGCTTCAACTGAAAAGTCAGAGGGGAGGCTACAGAGAATAAAACACACACACAAATATGTGTAGCCTCACTAGTAACAAGGACAATGAAAATTAAAATGAGATTTTTTTTCCCCTAGAATATTGAAAAAACTTTCAAAAGCTTACTAATATTTAGTTTGGCCCAAAGAATGGACCACTGATAGAAATGCAAATTGGGGCAGCCTTTGGGGAGGATTATTTGGGTCTATCTATCAGTGCTATAGCCACAAGCCATTTAACCCAGCAAGTTCCTTCCTTAGATGTACATTCTAGTATATGTGCTGCTGAAGTGAGCACTAGATGTACATTCTAATAAGTATACAGATCTTAGGAATGTTGATATAAGTTGGTTCATTTTGTAGAGGCAATTGAAGCAGAAGAAAAGTAAGGATAATTAAATGTCCATCAATAGGGGAAGGTAGTTGCATAAATGATAATGTAGTCAAAGAAAAAATATTGTGAAGCTCTTAAAAAAAAGTAGAGCTATCTATATAGTAACATGAAGAAAAGTCCATGCTGTATGGTTGTAGAACAGTGGACGTGTTATCTTTGTATACATATACTTGTGTGTGATATGGACATGTATATGCATATAAAGCATCTGTGTGTGTGTGTGTGTGTGTGTGTATTCCAGGGGGACTGGTTTCAAAATTCTCAGTAGATACTAAAGTCCAAGTATGCTCAATTTTCTTCTATAAAGTAACACAATATTTGCGTACAACATACACACATCTTCATCTATACTTTAAATCATTTCTTTTATTTATAATACTAAATACAATGGAAATGTTATATAAATAATTATTACAGTGTATTGTTTAAAGAATAATGACAGGAAAAAGAGTCTGTACATATTAGGTACATATATAATTTTTTGCAAATATTTTTGATCCATGGCTGGTTCAATACAGATATAGATCCCATGGATATGGAAGAGTGGCTGTATACATATTTGAGCAAGTTGCTTAAATTTTCTGTGCCTCATTTTCTTCATTTGTAAAATGAAGAATATATATATGCAAGGCTATGTATCCCAAACACTTCCCTACCTATATACACATAAGTGTTTCTCTGCCTAGCCTGAAAGCTGGCCTCCTGGGAACAGAAAACATTTTACTGAAGTAGCCCAAGCACTGGGAGCAAGGAGCTCCCAAGTGAGGACCTGAGAACTTTAAGTCAGCTCCAGGTTCTGGGTCTGACTGCTGTGGGGCCTTGGATAGGGCACATTAGTTCTCAGCCAGCTCTATTTTCCTGAGCAGATTGGCTAAAACCTTCCCTCCACTCTCATTAACAACTGCCTGGGCAGTCACGAACTAGACCAAATGTCTGGGGTCAGGACACACAGACTTCTAATCTCCCTCAAAATTTCCCCCTTTCCTTAGCACCCAAGTGGAGCCCTGTAGGAAAGAATCAGGTTATAGTAGCTACCTTCCTGTTGCTGGGACAAAAGACTTGTTACATACAACTTAAAGGAGAAGAAGCTTATTTTGGCTTATGGTTTCAGAGCTTTCAGTCCATGGTCAGCTGGCTCCATTGCTTCAGGTCCATGGCACAGATCAACCCATTGATGGGTGTAACACCATCCTGATCCAGTCACCTCTCTAGGCCCCACCTCTGAAAATTGCTGTATTGGGGATCAAGCCTTCAATACACGAGTCTTGGGAGGACACTTCATATTGAAACCTACAGTACAGGGAGTGTCTTTTACTCCCACCTCCCCTGCTGTTCCTGAGAGTCTACTGCACAGCAAAAGGGGCTGGGAGGTTCTGTGGGGTCCAGGGTCACAAGCACAGCTGGAAGCACTGGGGCTCGCGGGTCTCTCTCTCCTCCTGCAGGATCGTGTGTGAGATGGGGGAGGCCAAGCCCAGCCAGCACGCGGGCTTTGTGGAGATCTGTGTGGCCCTGTGTCGGCCTGAGTTTATGGCCCGCTCCTCGCAGCTCTACTACTTCATGGTGAGTCCTGACCACCACAAAGCTCATGACTGTTATTGCTAGGTCCTGCCAGACCTTCTAGCAAACACAGGGCAAGGCCCTGCAGGCCTGCCCCCTCCTGTCACGGGAGTCCTTTTCTGTCATAAGTGGGAAGAATAAGATCCAGGCTCAAATCCAGACTTAGCTATGCCTGTTTGTGTGGCTCTAGGTACGATGCAGTAGCCCTTGGTTCCCAGTGTCCCCGCCTGGCTGAATGGAGGGGTGGCACAGTGGGTGAGTGTGTGCTGTACACATAAAGACTCCTGGGACTTGTTACCCGTGCTCTACCAGTTACTAACCAGGCGAACTTTGGCAAGTTACTTAATTTTTCTGTGCCTCAGTTTCTTCACTTGTAAAATGGAGACACTAATAGCACCTACAACATGGCATCATGAAAATTCCATAAAATGTACTCATTCATTCTGCTGTCATTTCCTGTGTTACCTGTCATTGGCACTATCATTGCCAAATCCTCGCCTTTCCCTGTACACTCATGCCCATCACTCCCAGCCCATCATCTTCCCTTCCACCCACCCACTCATCAGCAGCCCTGCCCCCATGACCTCTTTACTGCTTCTTTCACTTGTCCTGCATCTCATGGCCCCGCATTCCACCTCCACATCCCATCCATCTCCCCCTACCCACACCGTTACCCCACCTCTCATCCACCACCCCTTTCTTCCTGCCATGGCCGCTCTGCAGATCACCCCATCCTACCAGGCCTTGACTCCCATCCGGCCTGAACAGTCCTGTCAAGTGGCTCTGGAGGACAGAGGGTTTGGGATCCCTTGGCCTTGCGATTGGATTGTGGGGAGATTGGAGACATGGCACCTTCCCTGCCACACACACCCAGTGTTTTCAAAACTGACTTCTCACGTGAATGACAGCTATGATGGTGTGATTTCCTCAGGGTCCTGGGCTGCTTTTGAAAGCTGGAGGCCTGAGGTAATGGAGTTTAGGCCTGGGCATCAAATGCTCTGAAATATTGCCGTGGGAAATCCTGCCCCCTTCCTCCTTCCTCCCTTTCCTCTTGTCTTCCTTGCTGCCTTTCTTCCCTCTTTCCTTTGGGTTCTTTTTTGTCCCTTCAACTGACAGCATTCATTGCCTTGTGCAATACCCCTCACCATATTTTTGATAAATACTTGTTTAGTTATGTTGAATGCTGTAATGTAATTTGGTGGCTCTGGCTGTGGGGTTGTGATGATAACTAACAGCCAGCACAGCGCCTCTCACAGTCTCCAAGGTGGGTGAGACCGGCTGCAGCTAAAGACTTGAACATGGTGGGGTGAACCTCAGAGAAATGCAGGTCAGATGCCCCTCCACACCTCTGCTCCTGGGAAACCAGCCTCCCTTTAGGCGCCGCTGGCTGTTACTGAACCCACACTGGTGACATTCCTGCTCGCCAGGTTCTGGGCATGGAATATGGCTCTGGATCACCTGGCAGCCAAGAGGAAGAAGGAGGCAACCACTACATGGCCAAAGCAAGCATCCGGGCTTCCACAGCCAGCCAGTCAGCCAGCCAGATGGTTTCCATCCTGTGTCCTTGGCAGTGACCCTGGATGACAGAGTAGACAGGACTAGGGGAGCCTCTACCTCACTATTTGAGGCATTTCCTTTGGGCTCCCTCTAACATGTTCCTCTGTGAACCTCCAACCTCTGTGCCCAAGCCTGACCTATCCAGGATGTCGGCCCTCCAGCACAGTGCATCCCCTCTTGCCCATTTCTGCCTGTAGCCTGTCCCCCAGTCCCAGTAGTCTTAGTGGATTGTCCCTTGGCTTCCATGAATTCCGGATAGCCATCATCACCATGTCCTGGAGTCTCACTTTTCCTATTCTCTTTGCTCCCACCATTTCCCCCTTAAATCTGTATTTGGCCTGTGCCCCGTGTAACACCTCTACCTCCATGAAGAACTCATTTGCATCAAGCTGTCTCTACTTTGAGCATCCTGAGTTCTCTGCCTGAGGACTGCCTGAGTTCTCTGGTGTGCTCACCTTCCCTGCCCAATCCTATCTCTCCAACTTTCACCTTTCCCACCTCCTTCCCCTCTGTCTTCTTCCCCTGGCTGCACTAAGCCACATCTTCCATTCTGCAGAGCCCAGCCCATGCCCCACCCTCTGTCTTCTCTGAATACAGAGCTGAGCTGGGCATGCCACAGCTCTTGCAGCCCACCCTTTGGTGCCAGAGCATCTTCCTGCACCACACTCCGTGGGTCCTCTTCAGCTGGGCTCCTCTTCTTGTATGCATTAGGGTCCCTAGAAAAGCAGCATTTGTCCAGGCCAGACTGTGATTTCCATGGGGACCTTGGGGAGTTGGCAGCCATTCCTAGAATAAGGTTGACCCTGATGTACACAGGAGATGAGAACTGAGGAAGGGAGAGAGCAGCGGGCGAGAAGGAGGAGAAACAGAGTCAGATCAGAAGCTGTGGAGAGAGATACCACAAGACAAACAGGCCATGAGCCAGTGGTCCTTTGGCTCAAGACTGATGTCGCTTTTGTATTTGAAGGGCACCTCCGAGAAGCTACCTGGTGCCTCATGTCCACTCACTGGGGAAGACTTTGAGGAAGACCAATGCTAGTAACACTGGCCTTGTCCTCTGGTCCAGTTACTGAAGGATTGAGTCATGGAGTCCCCAAACCCCCTCAGAGCTCCAAATGTCTCCTAGTGGCAACAAGGTCAGAGGTCTCCATGAGCCTCCTCCGGAGGCAGGGAGGGACGGAACTCCCTCTGTCATGCTTCCAAGCATCCAGAGCCCCACTGCCTTCTCAGCCAGGTGGCAGGTGGGGGCCACTCCCCGGATCCCACACAGAAGCCCCTCTCTGTTGGAGTCCCGGGACTCTGGAGAACTCCTTCCTCTGGCTCCTCTGGGGGCCCACTGGGGAGTCCTGTTTTAGGAGGTGCTTTTCAGGACCTGGGGTGTCTCTTCCCGATGCAAAAGTTGGGGGCAGGTTGGGATTTCCTTCCACAAATCAGTCCAGGCTCTGATCTGTGACTTATTTACCCTAAACTCAACCTCCAAGGCCAGGGAGTCTAGATCCAGGCCCTGCAGAGAATTCTTTATCTTCACGGACTACTTCCATCCACAGAGCCAAGTGAGGAGGGGGCAAATAATGAAGGATTTGATTTCCCCTGCAAACCCACCGTGAAATATTTATGAAGCATGACTTGAATAATTAATAGTTTCTCACAACTCTAAAACACATCTCCATAACACCCTTTCCGCATCCCTGGAATAATCCCCCCGCCCTCTCCAGAGGCCCCCTGATAACAGCACCACTACAAACCCCAGGGGTTTCCCCACTTTGGCCCTTTTAGGACCCCCCACAGGCTGGTTGGAGGGAGTGCTCACCCCCAGGCAGGCTAGGTTGGACTCTGCATCTAGGACCATGCTGCCTCCTGCCTCCGAGCCATGTGCACAAATGGACACCTCTCCCTCTCCCTCTCTCTCTCTCTCTCCCTCCCCCCCGCCACCCCACACCACACACTTTTCCTTCCCTCTCCGAGGAAGTCAGCAGGCCCTTTGTGGTGGTGCTATTACAGAGCAAGACAACTGTCAAGAGCCTTGGAGAGAACTACTTTTTGGATCAGCCCCCCTCCCCATCCTTGATTTTGTTACCAAAGAGGTTCTATCTTGTTCTCTGAGCCACAGAGCATGATCCAGGCAGAGCTGAGAAAGAGGTCTCTTTCCACCTCAGGGCAGGCCTGGGTCCACGCTGCCCTCTGTCTCTTTGTGTGCCCTGGCCCTGCACCTGAGTGCACACCAGGCAGTGGGTGTCTGCGTCTATCAGGGCTCCCCTTTGCTCCCTGAGGTGTCACAGAAGGAGGCCTCCCTCAGGGAGGATGCCAACCTCTCTCTTTGGAGCCCAGTTCTTTTAGGGGACGGGGCTGGGGAGGGAAGAGGGCAATCTTCATTTAAATGCAGATACCAGCTTCTCACCTGGGACCAAGGAAAGTTTTTCCATTAAAATGCTAATGAAAGAAAGAACTGCAACTGCAAATCCCCAGCTGTTGCGGTTTCTTCCCTGCCCCCCTCACAGCCCTGCTCTTCTTCCTGTCCCATCCTGGTAGGGGCTCTGGTCTGGCCTGAAAAGAGACGACTCTTCTTTGTGTCTCTCTCACAGCCCATGGCTCTGGCCACTGGGCGCTGTGGGCAGCTCTCTGGAGAAGCCTGCGGAAGGGATACGTCACCTTCCCCAAAGCAGTGAGACTATAGATGGGAAAGGTTGTTGGGAACTCCTGCTCTGGAGTCAAATGTCAGTTATGCCACTTTTTGACTGTGTAACCTTGGAAAACTTACTTAAAGTCTCTGGATCTCATCCGTAAAATAGATAATAATACCTTCATTATAGAGTTGATTGGACAATTGTAGGTATGTGTGTGTACAGGTGTGTATATTGCTATAGATGAGGATGTAAAGCCTGACAGAACATCAGTACATGGCAGCTGTCTTTATTGCTGTCATAAATACAGTGATGCAAACTCTTAAGGTCCCAGACATCGCCTATTCTCACAGCCACCTTGATTGAAGGTTCCAGAAGACAGCTTGGGCAAGGAGCAGCCCAATGCCACCTCTACTCTGCCAGGCATCATGTCTCAGGCTTGTCCTTTCCTACACAGACCCTGACGCTCTTAGACCTAAAGCCCAGCCGGGGGCCCATGTCTGGGGGCACCCAAGTGACCATCACGGGCACCAATCTGAACGCGGGCAGCAACGTGGTGGTGATGTTTGGAAAGCAGCCCTGCCTCTTCCACAGGTAACCCCAGGAGCCCTGGGGTGGGGGCAGATGCGTCACTACCTGGGGCAGGTAGGGAGGGACAGCCAAAGGCAGGGACTTCCTGGCTAACTCTTGGAAGTACTTGCTGCTCCCTGAGAAAGTGTCTGAGGGGGGAGCACTGTGGCTCATCTGGAGCCCTGGTACAGAATGCAGCTTGAAATCTACTCTAGAGCCTGTTCCTAGGGCAGCACCTCTCCAGCTGCCATGGAGCCAGCTGGGACTCAGCGCTGACAGAATAGCACCAAGGCTGACCCTCCCGGGTGGGTGGCTTTCCCTTCCTGTGCCACCCTCCAGCCCAGCAGGGCACACCTGGTCTCCCAGGAGCTCCGGAAGATGCCCGGCCTGAAGGTCTCTAGAGAGAGGCATTCTTAGAGGGGTCTGTGCTGAGGGCTCTCCTGAGGCTGAAGTAGGAGCAGCCCAGAGCCTACTCTAGTAGTGTTAAAGAACAAACTACTCTGACATCTGTTAAAATGGCAAGGAAGGCTTGGTCAAGACAGCTGCAACAGAGTGGACACTGTCACAATAAGGGAGAGAGACAGCTCAACTCCAAGTGCAGAGAACACAGCTGGGGACTGAGAGCCAACCAACAGAATGAGGAGTCTTGGGAGGGAGAACTAGGAAGAAGAGTTCCCAAGGTGACTTGGGATTCTTGCCAGTGGAAGGCCAGGGTCATCAGTGATCAAGGGCTTGTGTTGGGAGCAATGCTACATAATTCTAGGGAAAAATCATTTGGTTAGCCTAGTTCTCTTGCCTACAGCCCAGCTACAGAATAACTCCAGTTTGGCCTCCGGTCACAACTGAGACTTCAGCGATCCAGTGATGCTGTGGCCCCCAACAGGCTTGGGATCCTCACCAGACTGATTTAGCATGATTCTTAGTAAAATAAAGGCTACGCAGACCAAAGGCCCAGGACCAAGCCTGTGTGAATGCTGGGCTCAGCCAGCCTGTCTAGAGCTGGGTCCGGGACAGTCTGTGTTCCTGGTTCTTGAGTTTTGCATCCAAGCCAGTACTCACCCTTTACCCCTGAGGAGCCTGATTCATATGGGGAGTGGGGTGTAATTCCCCGGACCACCATCCTCTCAACATCCAGGGGCCCACTGCTCTGCCTTCCCTCCTCCAGGCGATCTCCATCCTTCATTGTCTGCAACACCACGTCCTCAAATGAGGTTCTGGAGATGAAGGTGACAGTGCAGGTGGACAGGGCCAGGATCCGCCAGGACCTGGTCTTCCAGTATGTGGAGGACCCCACCATTGTTCGCATTGAGCCAGAGTGGAGTATTGTCAGGTAGGAGCTGCTCTGAGTGTACCGTCATGCCTCTGGGCCTCAGTTTCCCTTCGGTAGCTCTCAAAAGCCAAGGAGAGTCCTGGGGGCCCAGTCCTGCTTTGGAGACTAATGGACTGGGTTTGGTTCTGAACACCCCCAAATTAGACTACCCTCCTACAGTGGCTCCCTCCTTGCATCTGCATGCAGGACCCGGTCTGGAGGCCGAGCCCTGATTTCAGGACTTGCAGGCTCTGTCCCCTTCCCACAGTGGGTGCCAGATCCCTCACTATGGCAAATGGGGGCATTCTGGTTCTGCCTCAGGCTGAGGTTTGTGGGAAAAGGAATGAGATCAGAGCCAACTTCTCTGAAGGGCAGGGTGTAGGCCTGGTTCCTTGCTTCCCTTAATGTCTACCACGAGGGCACTGAATATCCCAGGCGACTGAACCAGTGTTGGATGCTGGTATAGAAAGACCCTGATGAAGAGGGAAGCTCTTCAGCCATTTACCTGGGGCAAGTCACAAACTCTTCCACCTTTTCTGAAAGTCCCCTGGGGATTTTGGAACCTGAGGCTCTCCAGGGTCTCTGGAAGGGTGTACCTCCCAGCAAAGGTGGGACTGCGTGCAGACAGCATGTGTCTGCTTTTCCTGGTCCTGGAGGATGTATGAAACTGTGCAGGCTCAGCTCCCTCCTCTGCTCCTTTCCCAGGCCTCAGCCCTGTCCTTTCTGTCCCTGACAGAGTTCAGTCCTCCCCAGACCAACACTATCTGCTCCAGCTCTGAGTGTGATAGGCTTAGGGACAGCATGAAGAAGTGCTGTCCATGGCTAGAGCAGGGACCAGTCCAGTCAAAGGTAAGTCTTGAAACTAGTGGTCCCCGGGCCAAATCTGGCTGGCCACTGGCTTTTTAAAAGACAGTTTCATTAACACACAGCCATGGCATTCTATCTGTATAGTTTCTAGCTGCTTTCTTACCACCACAGCGGAGTTGAGAAATTGTGACAGGGACCATTAGGCCTGTAGAACCTAAAGTATTTACTGTGTAGCCCTTTGCAGAAAGTGTGTGCCACCCCCTGCCTTAGCCCAGAGAAAAGACAGTGTGGCTGCTGGGGTGAGATGTGGCTGTCCTCAGCAGTCACTGGGTCAGGCCACCCTAGGAGCTTTAGACATGATCTTGATGCAGATGAAGAGGATAAGGCATAGAGAGGGAGACACCCTGTCAAAAGGCACATCAGCACTTGACCCTAGGGCTGGTGAATCCAGGGAACGAGTGTAGCCCCTCCTGGTTTACTCACTATGAGCTGGGACTCTGAGAAATTCACAGCCTCAGTTAATGTCATCATCACAGGAAGAGACATGTCACCCTTCCTGGTGCTCACCAGCCATGCCCTTGTCAGGCTCACAGCAAGAAGGAGGCTGGAGACTTTTCTAGTTTGGCCACCCAGTTGCGGTGCTACTTGCTAGGTTAAGGAAGTCTGAGGATGGGAGGGACTCTGCACAACTCTGCACATGGCATGGCTCTGCACTGCTCAACAAGCAGCCCTGTTGGCCTGGAGACAGGATAGGGGCATTGCACCTGCATATGGAACTGATGATGGAGAAGACTGGGAAGATGGCTGGATACCCCAGGCTCATCTTGCCTACTACTGGGACAAAAGATGCTCTCTGATGTCACAGGAACCTATGTGTGTTCAAAGAGCAAAGGAAAGAAGGAACTGGGAGCCTAAAGTTGGGCAGATAGATAGATGGGTAGAAATCAATCTGGGTGGTAAGGAGTCTCACCTACCGTGCTTAAAACAAATTAACTTGCCAAGCCTTTTTATATAGCAGGGATCTTTTCAAAGATGCTCCTTTGTCTAGAAATCAAGTCAATCCTTGCTCTCCTTTGAGTAGCCCCCAAGGAAGATTCAGCCCAGCAGAGTGCTGTCCACGCCTTCTTGCCAGCTCCTCAGCCTCCCTGGGGACATGGCATCCTTTGAAGGGCTATGCCAAGGTAAATCTCCTGAAGCCCCTCCATCAGTGTCCTGTGCACCACAAGGTGCAGGAGACCTGAGTCTGGAGCCTCCCACACATAACTCCTGAAGAAGTTTTCTGAGTGCTTGGACCACTGCTTTTCCCACATAGTGACCTGTTGAATCCTCCAAGGGCAAAGGTTTTAGTTTGATTGCCAAGGAGCCAGAGGAAGCTATGCTTGGACCCTGCAGGATCTGACGGGACATCTGGAGAAAGGATTCCATTAAACCAAGGGCAAGGTGAAAAAAAGTCTCAAGAGTGGCGAGGACTCCAGGAACTGGGGCAGCTGGCTTAGTCAGGCTCGGGTCAGGGGCCCTTGAGACCTAAGGGCTGTGCTGTCACCTGGGTCTCCTCACACTGACCTCACTCCAAGTCAGCTCAACAAAGGATGCCACAGACATCTGGACATCATTGTCTTCTCCTTGGCTGCTGAGATGCTCATTCTTATTACCATGCACTTGGCTTGTCATCCTTGTCCCCAAGAACATTATTGTGCTGTCTGCTTATCATTGTTCTTATTGTCAGAACATATCGTGATTATCATCACTGTCGCCATCGGGTGCTATTGTTCCTTTCCTGTGATTCATGTGCCCCTTTCTTCTGTCCCTGGCAGTGGAAACACACCCATTGCTGTCTGGGGCACTCACCTGGACCTCATTCAGAACCCCCAGATCCGTGCCAAGCATGGAGGGAAGGAGCACATCAATGTGAGTCCAACATGTTCCTTCCAAAGGGTGGGGCATCCCAGGCACCCCTGACCACAGAGGAACACAGTCTGTGGCCACCCCCCTCAGAGCTGGGATGGTGGGCATTTTCAGGCCGACAGGCCTGGAGGACCTATCATTCCCAGAGTTTCTGGGGTGTCACATGCCGACTCCTCCACCCCTCCAACCCCCTGCTGCTCCCTAGCTTAGAAAATATCCTAGTCACTGCCAAACCCACTGTGGGCAAAGCCAGAGTGAGGTGACAGCCACAGAATATAAGCCCAAGTGCAGCTCCCTCATCCACAATCCTGTAAACCCCCGATGCATTGACAATTTCTGGGGAGACCCAGCCCATGTGGGGCTGTGCAGATATACCATCTTCTCCCTCTCTGTCCCCTCCCACAGATCTGCGAGGTTCTGAATGCTACCGAGATGACCTGCCAGGCTCCAGCCCTGGCCCTCGATCCTGACTACCAGTCAGACCTCACTGAGAGGCCTGAGGAGTTTGGCTTCATCCTGGACAATGTCCAATCTCTGCTCATCCTCAACAAGACCAATTTCACCTACTATCCCAACCCTGTATTTGAAGCCTTTGGACCCTCGGGTATCCTGGAACTGAAGCCCGGTACCCCCATCATCCTGAAGGTAGAATGAGAGCAGGAAGAAAGGAGGCCACTGCATGGAGGGGGAGGGTATCCAGGCACAGGAAGAGGACAGAAGACACAGGCTCCTGACAGATTTCACAACTGGTGTCCCTTGCAGAGGTTGTGTATAGAGCTCAGCATTCAACAGGCCTCATTTATCCAGGAAAGGCAGATCCACCTAGGCTATTGGAAGCCCAAGCTTTGGTCTTCAGAATCCAGGAAATAGGTGGTCCAAGACCCACACTGTGTCCTCCCATGTACTCCTTTGCAAAACATACCTTAAGTTTTCTTTGGAGCATGGGTTGCAAGTTAACTTTATCTTGTATGACAATTTGAATCAAGTACTAGTAACCGACCACAGCTATGTACTGGATTGAGAAGAATTCTGAGGCTGCATTAGGGATAACCTGAAAAAAGTACGTCAGTTATTGATTTCCCACTGGGGAGAAGGGAGGATGGTCATATATATGTTACATTAGTCCCTTTTCTGTTACTATCACAAAATACTTGAGGCTGGGTATTTTCAAAGAAAAGAGGTTTAATGTGCTCACAGTTTTAGAGGATGAAAGTCCAAATAGCGTGGTATTAACTATTACTGTGGCAATAGGAGAGATCGCATGATGAGATAGGAAGCCAGAAGGCAGAGAGGGGACAGTAATGAGCTCCCACTAGGCCCCACTTCTTAAAGGTCCCATCACCTCTTACTGCCACTGAATGAAGGACCAAGCTTCTAACACGTGGCGTGAGAACCCTGGGGGGAAAACCACATTCCTGCCATAGCACATGCCTTGGACATGTCACTGTAGGTGGCCCCTCCACCATCTCACCAGCTGGATGGGATGTCTGGTATGAAGACGTGGCAGCCATCAGTGACTGAGGTTATGACTCTGGGTGGAAACGGGGGCTTTCCTGTGTGTCCAGGGCAAAAACCTGATCCCACCCGTGGCTGGGGCCAATGTGAAGCTCAACTACACCGTTCTGGTCGGGGAGAAGCCGTGCACTGTGACTGTGTCGGATGTGCAGCTGCTCTGCGAGTCCCCCAACCTCATCGGCAGACACAAAGTGATGGTGAGGCTGGCAGGATCCCTTCCTGAGAGGAGCAGGTGGGAGCTATGCTGGGCGAGAGTAGAGCAGCCACCTCTGGGCCACCGGGGTTTTCAACGGGAGATCTCAGTCCATTACCAGCCACCCGGCACCCATGCCGTGTCCCAGCTCCTCCCTTCCATTCTGTCCTTTTTTCTGTACCTCCTCCTGTGACAACAAGGGCACTGCAAGAGGGCCTTTGAGGAGAGCGCCATCTCTGGCCTAGGGAGACCCCCAGTGTCCTGTTCTGTGCCTCCGTGTCCACCACGACCAGGGGATGAGTCTCGGGGAAGCATGTCGTGGATGCTCTGTGGCTGCCTAGGCACCGGCTGTGTGCCATCTCCTGAAGATGACGTGGGTGTTCCCGACCCAGGAGCTGTGCGGATCCTCTTGTTGAGGGTTCCCTCTGCCATCTGTCCCCTCCCCCAGCCCCAGGGCCCTCTCCTCTCTTTCACACCCCGATGAGGCCCCTCTCTGCCCTCACACTCTTCCTCCTCCTGACACTGTCCCCACCCACACCCCCTCTCACCCCATGTGTCCCCAGGCCCGTGTTGGTGGCATGGAGTACTCCCCAGGGATGGTATATATCGCCCCGGACAGCCCTCTCAGCCTGCCTGCCATCATCAGCATCGCTGTGGCTGGTGGCCTCCTCATCATCTTCATCGTTGCTGTGCTCATCGCCTACAAACGCAAGTCTCGCGAGAGCGACCTCACGCTGAAGCGGCTGCAGATGCAGATGGACAACCTGGAGTCCCGAGTGGCACTGGAGTGCAAGGAAGGTACTCGTGACCAGTGCTGTGTCCCTGCCAGAGGTTGTGTGTACACTTGTGCGAGCTTCTGTACAAAAGCAAGCGGTCTGGGCAACACTGGGCAGTGCTGGAGTTTGTGAGTGTGTGTTGGTATGCATACATATGTGTATGCGTGCACACACGTGTGTGTACTCATGTACATGTGCGTGTGACTCTCATTCCTAGCCACAGGCTGGGCAGCCATGGACAGTGCCAAGGGTTGTATGCCTGTGTATGCACACATATAGTATATGCATATGTACATGTGTGTGCATCTGTGTGCCTCTTATACACAAGCAAACAGCCTGGGCAGCTGTGGACAGGCAGCTCTGGAGATTGTGCGTGTGTACATATATGCATGTGCACATGTGTGTATTTCTCACAAGCCTCAGGCCCAGCAGTGCTGGAGGCTGGGTGTCGTATTCAGAGACTTAATGGCAGTCCCTGAGCCCGTGTCACAGTCAAAGCCCTACCTGTCTGTCCACTCTGGCAGGGGAGAAATTAGGTCCTTCCAGGGGCTGAGGCTAGGGTCACTGCCCTGCAACAGTCTCCAAACCCAGAACCCAGCTGAGTGGGTTTCATTCTGTCTTCCGGGAGAGTCCTAGGAATATCTCATCATGACACAGTCATCCCTTACCTTCAGCAGCAAGGGAAGACTGAAGGGCTGATCTGTGATTTCGAAGGAAGAATGTTTCACAGCTGGTATTTAAAAAAACTTACAAACACCACCATGAAGTGAGATCAGCTATAATAAACCTGAGAAGGAAACTTAGGAGCCAGACTCTGGTAACCCCAGGACATCACTGCATGAGTCACCCTGGGAGGGAGGATCCAGGATCCAAGCATGTTCTCTGTGGTGGGTGTGTACAGCGAGTTAATTCAGCCCAGTACCTGTGCTCCCAAATCGAGCCAGTCCCCACCAGGGAAGCTGAGGCCAGTTTTGATGGGGAGGTGGATCCATTCCATCCCCTCTCTGCATCCTTCAGCTGTCAGCACGGCATCCACCTTGAGAGACAGTTAATTACTGCTTTTATTATATTTACACCGCTTATTTTTTTTCTCTGCAATGGACTCTTCCATCTCATTAGGTGTCGTGATTAGGATCTTTTTCATGTGTGGCAGGCGTGAGGCTTTGAATGTTGGAAGCTCTTGGTGACTTACAGGAAAGCTGCAGAGGTATCAAAAGCTGACTTCCTCCCTCTGCTACCAATCAACTGAGCACCCCAACCGGGAGGGGGCAGCCGAGGGCAGGGCACAGCTCAACTCTGCCAGAAGGTCCCCTGGGAGGGAGGCTGAGCAGGCAGGCAGGAGTCCAGTCCAAGAGTTGGAGGTCTTCAGGGAGCCTGGCTCAAGGTTTGGGGACAGCTACGCACAAGGGCTGGAAGGAGTCTTCCAACAAAGGACACACAAGACCCACACTTTCCAGGGCCTGGGGCTGCTGTTTAGCATTTGCAGGGTGTAAGGGCGGGTAGGGTCTTCTCGAAGACTTCACAGTGAGCCAGGATGTCACCCATACCTGAATGCACAAGATGCTCTGCTCTCGCCCTGCAGGGGCCTGAGCCTTGGATAGGGAAACACACACCTGTGCAGACACAGACTCCTGTTTCTCACTCACTGATATACTCACACACTCATATACTCACACCATAATATCCACACACTCTCACACTGACATACTGCCCCCCCCCAAACTCACACCCTGACATGCTCACACTCAGCCAGTTTCACTCGCGTACCTTCACATGCGCACTCACACTGTCACACTGCTATACATACACTCACTAACACACTCACATGCCCGCATACTCTCACTCCTGCTCATGCACTTTCCCATACAGGCGTATACACACACAGAGGTATGTGTGCCTCACCCAGGACATATGTGAGTGTCCATTGAACTTTTGGTGACAGCATATGTCAAAAACGATCACTGACTCCCTTTTTTTAACATCCGCACTCACACATGCACAGGCACACTCCCACACATTGGAGTAAGTTCTGCTTCATTATATTAGGGCTCTCTCCCTCCGAGTCACTGCATGACAAGAGCCCATGTGGACAGAGCAAAAGTGGGAAATACGAGAGGAGAGTAGTATGGATACAGGACTTTGGTGCCCAGGACTATCCCCTGTCCTCTCCAGCAAGTCATAGAGCTTGCCTGGTACCAAGATCTACTGAGACCAGTGGCCTTGACATCAGCACTGCAGGGCAGAGCTGCTCCAAAGTCTAGAACAGGTGGGGCAGGGCCCTACCACAGTTCCTGGGGCACCTAAGTCATATTCACGTGTCCACGCAGGCCACTGGGTTCTGGGCTTGCTTTTTGAGGGCCCTAGACCCATCCTGGGCTTGTAAAAACCCTTCTGAACCTACAAAGTATTTTTCCCTTTTCTTGTGTCTGTATAAATAGAAAGAAACATTGGTCAGTCCATGTCTCCTGGCTGTTCTTTGCCAACATGTGTTCATCCATCTGGGTTGGGTGTATATGTGTATGTACGTGCACACATACAGGTATTTGTATGTTAGTGTGCATGCATGTGTGTTCATGTGTGTGCATACACCAAAGAGAAAGGAAGAGCAGGGCCTGGCTGCCTGCTTCATCTTGAGTACCTAGAGTGGCAGAGGGTGGCCCCAGGGGAGGATGTGCCTAGGACAGAGTTCTATGACAGCTTTGGCACTGTAGAACAACCCCAGGCTACACTGTGTGCCAGATTTTCCCAGGGGCCAGCTGGGATTTTGTCACTCTGTCCATCTGGAGGCCTGAGCTGCTCCCACAGACACCAGTGCCCATATGCAGATCGTAATTCATCACTAGGTAGAATCACCTTGAGCAGGAAGGATCAAGACAAACCCTGTGTATCTATGTAGAAGGAAGATATTAGTCTCAGTCCCTCCATCCCAGGCCCATTTGGAGGTTTGATGGTCCCAGTGAACTGCACACTCCAGAACTGGGCCTGCAAACTTTCATCCTTTATCAGAAGAAATTGTTCTTAAGTGTCATAAGAAAACCCAGTACAAACCCAGCAAGTATAGATGCACCCCTGCAGGCTCTCTCTGCTCTCCTCCTGTTCCTCTGTGTCCCCCTTCCCAGCACTGGTTGCACACCAAAGCCTTTCTTCTTCAGGTAGGGAGTCCCTTCTGGCCAGGGCCACAGCAGGAGTGCGGACAGCCTCACCAGGCACTGGAAAGGGAGACAGCCCCAGACAGGCTTTCTTCTACTACACTCCTGCCAGGCTGACACCTTTCATCCCAATCATTCTTGCCCATCTCCCCCCTCCCCAGTAGTCTCACGGGCTTCTCTTTGTGCTAGCTTTTGCCGAGCTGCAGACAGACATCCATGAGCTGACCAGTGACCTGGATGGAGCTGGGATTCCCTTCCTGGACTACAGGACCTACACCATGCGGGTGCTGTTCCCGGGAATTGAAGACCACCCTGTGCTCCGGGACCTAGAGGTGAGAGGTAGCGGCCCCTGCTGATGCTAGAGCAGGGTGGTGTGTTCGCAGTCTGCAAGTCTGGCCCCTCACTTGGAGGTGAGAAAGCGGAGGCCAGAGAGGGGACACACCATGGCTGAGGTCCCAGGCTTGTGGGTACATTCCAGTACTTCTGAAGACAGGGCCCAGCCAGGGAACATCAGGGCAGGCATGTGAGTAATAGGACTTCAGATCTTTGGGGGTCATGGAGTCTTTTGAGAGTTGCATGGGCTTTAAGGACTCTCTCTCCAGTAAAATTTTACCTGTACACAGAAACAAGAAATGGGAGTTCGTGGACCCTTTTATTTTTTGGTACCAGGAATTGAACTCAGGACCTTGTGCTTGCAAGGAAGGCAGCAGAACCACTGAGCTGAATCCCCGGCCCTCATAGACCCCTGTTTAAAAAACCATGTTATAAAGGATCTTACTATTTAGTTGGTGCTCAATAAATATATAAGGGATTTTACCACTTGGTGCCTAGTTGGGAAAGATAAGCAATGTGCAGGGAAAGGAGGTAGACATGTGAACGATAAACCCTAACAGTCTTCTTAGCAGCAGGGACCTCATCTTCTCAGCATTTTATCCCACTTACTGTCTAGCATAGTATCTGGCTTACGCATATATTCGTATTATGCCTTGTTCTGAAAGGGCTTTAGCACAGCTTATAAAGATAAATACCAGACAGAAGTGAAAAATATAAATGAGGAAACCAGAGCAAATGATAACCCTAAGGAATGATCATTATTAGTTGACTGTTACTAAAATCCCCACATGGCTGTAAGCACTGTTCATGAATTCATTCAGGGGCTCTCAGAGTTGGTGAGCCCATTTTATAGGTGACAAAACTAAGGGGACAGACTTTCATGTACATTTTCTCTCTGTCTATGTATGTGTATGCATGCATTTATACACTTATCACATATGCACATAAAAATGCAAGGGGTCTCCCTTCAACCCACCCATTGCCTTGGTCCAACTCTGGGGCTGTGTTCCTTTCCCTTTCTGACCCATTTCCTTCTGCCTTCCACCTTTCTTCCAGCCTCATCTTTATGTGCATCAAAATGCCAGGCTTCTTAGGGCTCTGAAGAGTCTGCAGGTTCCTGGTTAAAGTGACACTTGGGAGTGATGAAAAGATAGACAATATTCCGTGTGTGTGTGAGTGTGTGAGTGTGTGTGAGTGTGAGTGTGATTGGATGCATAGAGACTGCCCCATCTTTATTCATCTTTGTACTTCTAGCTTCCTGTAGAGCAAGGTGTCTGGCACAGGGTAGGTGTGCAGGAAATGGTGAGTGATTAAATAAATAAGTATCTGTGTGTCTGCCTGCATGAGGATGAACATAGCAGTCCTAAGAAGGGGAATTATGCCCGCTTTTGGGCACAGGAGAGAGAATAATTTAAGAATTCCACTAGGTTGGATACATAAAGTTATTCTTCCTTTTCACTAGTTCAAAACTCCTAGTTGTGTTAGGTTTCCTTTAAGGATGTAACTTTTCAATTGGATTTTCTAAGACCATATCAAAGTCAGGCTTCTCGTAGGCCAGCCTGAATATTTTGGGGCATTTAGAGGACAGTCCCCGCTTATACAAGCTGGTATAATCATGGACACACACATGCACACACTATTTATCCAGGCAATTCCTATGGTCCACAGTATAAATCCTACTATGTCCTGTCACTTAGTCCCATTTGGCTTCTTGCTTTCCTACATTCACTTGCCTCCCATAGGTTTCCAGCTCTCAAACTTGGCTTGGCCAAGGCCTATACCCCAAGGGCTGATGGCAGCAAGGTTAATAGGGTCCACTGTCCCACAGGACCTCAGGAGTGGTTGTGCAGGTGGACACTGAGCTACTGCAATGGAGCCATTCATATGAGCACACCTGCAGTAGCTCAGTGTACAACCTGCCTCACAGTGCATGACAGCCCTGATCATCCAGGACCAGAATGCAAGTGATTCCTTCTCATTGCCAGTGTGCACTGGAGCAGGCCCCTGACTGAAAGCTGCCTGGATTTCTACCCTACTTTGCTTCTCCAAGACCAGTTTTCCAAGAGAAGCTGCCTAACCCCTAGCTGTTACTTCTTAGCAAGACACATAGCCCAGTGAGGAAGAAATCTGAATGTCTTTCAGGTTCTCCTCAGGGCCCTGAATGGAGCTGGCACTAGCTCAGTCCTCCTGCTCTGGCACCTTCTGCTTTATTTTCCAGAAGTCGAGGCTCCCCAAGCAGGGGCATTGAGGACTTCAGTATGAATGATACACACTCCTCTCTCTGCCTAGAAAGTTCCAGAGTCCATGTTCAGGGCAGTCTCTGATCCACTGTGTCCTCACTTCGTGGAGACACTGCCTACCCCAAAGAGCTAGATGGGCTCAGAGTGCACCCCCATCAGGGATACCCCACTCACCACCACCAGGACAGGGTGCAGCCCTCAGAGGACTATGCAGGCACTCTGGGATGCAGGACTGTTGGTTCTGCTGATCACCTGGCTGTGCATTCCTCCCCAGGTGCTCTTTTAGGGGACAGGCCCTACCCCTACCCCAATCCTGGAACGTTCCTGCTGCCCATCATATAAACAATACCATGTCCTATTGTGGCCTTGTTCCTCAGCTGGCACCCTCAGATCTCCCCTGGAACATGAGTAGTCTCTATTTTCTTTGCCTTTGTTAATAAGGGGAAACTCTGATTCCAGCCTCCCGCTCATGAGGGTGTCAGCAGTCAGCTTGACTAGTTTCCCTGAACACGGAGCCCACAGGTGGCTAATTGTTGGGCACAGGCTCTCAGTCAGGCCAGCCACATGGCTTTTTAAATAAATGGTGGTAAAATACACATAGCATAAAAGTTTATCATGTCAACCATTTTTAAGTGTAGAGTGCAGCAGAGTTGAGTACATTCATTTTGTTGTGTTACCATCACCACCATCCACACCCAGAATGTCTTCATCTTCACTAACAAACTGTACCCCTTAAACAGCAACTCCCCTTTTATTTCTCCACCATCCTAGTTTCTGCTCTATGAATTTGACTTCTGTAGGGACTTCATATAAGGAGAAGCATGCAGAACTTGTTGTTTTTTGTCTGGCTCATTATACTTGGCATACTGTTTTTCAAAGTTCCTCCCTATTGTAGTGCCAGCCAGAATTTCCTTCCTTTTTAAGGCGGAAAAGATTGAGTTGTGAGGACAGACCATATTTTGTTTATCCATTCATTTGTGAATGGATGTTTGATGTGCTTCCAGTTTTTGGCTCTTGTGAACATGGGTGTGCAAATATCTGCTCCAGCCTCTGCTTTTATTGCTTTTCAGTATAAACACAGAGCAGTGTCTTCATTTCCAACAAACTCACTAGTTAACTGCTTTGGATGGAAATCAACTTTTATTGTCCTACAGTAGCCAGGGGCTATGTGATATCCAGGTATCTTACATGGATGTCACATCAGCTTTTGTTTGTTTCCAACCTGTTTCTGCCCCCCGGAAGCATTTCTCCCTCTTGGTGTCCTGAGCATAGAAACTTTCCAGGGGAAGCCATTGATTAATCTCAGGCAATGTTGCCCAGCCCTTTCAGCCCCTGGGACTCCTGTCCCTTGGAAAAGTGAGAAGGGAGGCATCCTCTAACTTCAGGCTGACCTATAGAGTAAGTTGCCAAGCTGTTTTTTGTGGTCCACAGGGTAAATCCAAGCATTTGAGTATGTGGCTTTCCAGGCCCTGGTCACAAACCAATCCTTTCAAAACAAGAAGCTGCCAATCAAATACTCCCAATTTCAATCCATCACCAGCTCTTTAACTGTAACCTATTGAATTACAATTAAAATTTACTGTGTAGTTTTATACTCACAGACTTCAGCTAAAGCAGAGAACCATCTGGTAAAGAAAGAATGTCTTGTTTCAGCATGGCATTGGCCCAGGGGGAGGGCAGGCTGCAAAGGGGAATTGCTTCTGACACTCATGACCAAGATACTTCACTTCTATCTCCTCCTTCCATAATGGGGGGAGAAAACTTCTTGTGCAACCCAAGACAAAAGGTTCTGTGCACTGGATATTGTGGAAACTCCTGGGCACAAGTGATGAGTGAAGAGCAGTCAGTGGAGTCAGAGAGGCAGGTAATAAACCAGTGCTGTTTAAGTGCGCGCAGTGCGTGCCAAGCACTTTACATACATTATCTTATTTAATATTCATAAAATATTATGACATCGGCACTCATATTCTCGTTTTAAAGATGAAACAGTAGACCTCAGAGGTGATGGAGTTTCTCCCTGTGGTGTCTGACTTGGATGCTCTTTCCTGCAGGTAGCTGTGCTAAAACCCCCATGCCCAGGACCCCCGGCCCTTGCTGCCCACCAGGCAAATGTGTCTTGCACAGAGAAAGTGCAGCTGAGTCAGAAAGTCCAGAGTGTGTCCTCATGGCCATCTAGTTGGCCCTGTGTCCTCTCCTGCTTGGACCCATGATGCCAAACCTAGCTGTGGCTGCTCTCCCTTTGACAGCCAACCTGAGCTGCTGGGAGGTCTTGAAGGGAAGGAAGGCTGCATGAAGAAGCCAGAGTTGATGTTTAGGTAGCTGCTGAGCCCAGGGATAGCACTGGACATGGTGACAAGACAAGCTTGAGTCTGGAAATCTAGAACTGGCCATCACCAACTGGGTGGCCTTGGGACAAGTCTCTCTCTTAGAGACTGTTATCTTGCAAGATCATTAGATCTCATTGGAATAATATACATAATGTGCCCAGCACTGTGTGCTACACATGGTAAGTGCCCAGTAATAGCAGTACCTATTACTATTCCGACAAGTCAGAGCAATGCTGCTCTGAGTGTGTTAAAGAGCAGAGGAACTTCAGTATGGCTAAGTGTGTGAAGGGTGATCACATGCATGGGAGGGAGGTCAGTGGGTGTCATACAGGTGGCGGATCGAGGTCTGGGCTATCCTGAGGTGAGGGTGCCACATGTCTCTTGCTAACCCCTTATCAGCTCCCAGGAGAGCAGGGAACTGATGGATCCAGGCAGAAGGCAAGCAGAGGTGGGTTCCACCTTGGGGGATGAGGGACTCACAAGTTGGGGGGTGCCAGGAATGTCCCTGGCTGGCACTTGCTGTGCGCTCTTACCTCTGAGTGGGTTCCCATCTGTCTCCTGGGAACTGGCCTTCCAGGTATAAGCACTGCAGCAAGAAAAATGAAAACAGCCCTGACTGGATAGCCGGCGTGTTTTCTACCAGCTTCCAGACCCATGGGAACTGCCGATGCCAGGCAACCAGGGTACTCTGGGAGAGCTCTTCTCTGCAGAGGCAGGGCAGCCAACAGTGCCCTCTCCAGGAGGGCCCTATGACTGGGCAACTGTCTTCAAGGTTGGGGCCCGGGGCTGCCTGACCCCTGCCTCCTGCCTGCACCTTGCTCTGAGCCTGGAACACGGCAGGGCTCTGTCATGAGTAGCATGAATGTTTCTGGCACCTTTGGTGACTTCAGTAGACAGGCTTTCTCTGGCCTGTAGAGCAGGATAAAACAGCTACCATCAGTGACTTGCCTGTGTGGCAGGCTGTACATGCAGGCTTTTCACGCATTGTTTCTTTCTCCACACAACAGTCTCAGGACGTGCCAGGGTGTGGTGCAGTCTCTGAAAGAGGCTCCCTGAAAACATCAGATGTTAGAGTCAGAGAGGTTCTTCAGAGACTATTGGGCTCCATCTTCCTCTTTTCTCAGATGGATAAATTTGTGTACCCAGAGAAGGAAAGGGACTTACCTGAGGTTGTATAGCATCGTCTGGCCAAGACTATGTGGAACCACAAAATCCTGACCCAAGCCGCCTGCCTGTCCACAGGATCCTCGGGGCCAGAGATGGGTAGGCAGTGGGGTAACCTGCTATGTACAGGCCCTTCATCAGCCCTGTGTGACCATAAGGGAGGAGCTCAGGCTCTGCAGTCTGGCAGAGGTGGATTCAAATCCTAGTATTGCCGCTTATAGACTTTGGCTCTTTCTCTCTGAGCCTCAGTTGGTTCTTTTCTGTACATGGACTGTAATAGAGGCCAAGTAGATGCTGGGCACAGAACCAGCTGCTGAGAGGGACTTGACAGCGTCGACCAGGTGGCTGGGGCTGTGCCAGTGGATGAGAGGTGCAATGGGGGAGTCAACAGTGTGGGCACAGCCATCCTGCAGGTGATCATGGGGACACCCAGCAGCTGGCATCAGGACCCCCCAATCTCTCTCATAGGTTCCTGGGTACCGGCAGGAGCGCGTGGAGAAAGGTCTGAAGCTCTTCGCTCAGCTCATCAATAACAAGGTGTTCCTGCTGTCCTTCATCCGCACACTGGAGTCCCAGCGCAGCTTCTCCATGCGCGACCGGGGCAACGTGGCCTCACTCATCATGACAGTGCTGCAGAGCAAGCTGGAGTACGCCACCGATGTGCTGAAGCAGCTGCTGGCCGACCTCATTGACAAGAACCTGGAGAGCAAGAACCACCCCAAGCTGCTGCTCAGGAGGTGAGAGTGTGGCCCTGCGGCTGCTGGCAGGGGTCAGAGCACTTCCTGCTCCGCCCATCTGCAGCCTGGCCCATGGGACTTTCCAGGGAGACCAGGCAGGCTCCAAGAAGAGGAGGTCTGCTCCTAAGGGCAAGACACTGACCTGTGAGGCCAGGCTGCATCACACTCCTTTCAGAAGGGCTGGCCACCATGTGAGTGCCTGGAACTCAGCCATGGTCCTTGGTTCACCCTGTTCTTTTCTTCCTGCATTCCATTCCACTCCTTGAATTCTGATCTTTCTGTTGGAATTCTTTTCTCACAAAATCTTCAGAGGTCATTTAGACCATCCCTGGCCTCCTCAAAATCAGAACTAGAAAGAGAGAGACCCTATGGCCTCCTGCCGCTTCTGGACCAGTAGCAGGAGCAGCATTCAGGAGGCTCAGGTCCTTTCAGGCCCACTGAATCAGAATCTGCATGTTAATGAGGACCCCAGTGACTTGGATGTATCTGTGTATTAAAGTTTGAAAACAGCAGAGTGAAAGCCTTTTTGTGCCATCTTACCCAGTGCAGCCCAGCACGTATTTCCTGGCCCCTGATATAGGCTAAGTGGATCCCGGTCCACAGCCACACATAGATATTTGCCTTCTATGTTGGAACCTGCAGGGTCAGATATGAGGCCTGGACCATACCCTTTAGCTTCTTCTTATGGAAAACAGAGACGCTCTCTCTCTGTCTCGCTTCCATTTGAGAAGGTGCTACTTCTCCTCTTTGCTTTGAATTCAATATCTCTAGCCTTGGCATATCTGAAGTTAGAAAATTCCAATGTGATGCTGTCACATCCAGCCCCCTGCCTGGATCATCCACTGACTCTGGCCCCGTCTTCCTGTCCCCCTCATGTCACCCTTGGTCTCTGGGTCAGAGGCCCAGCCTCAGTGGCCCCAGTTGGCCCTGTGTGTAGATCTGGCTTTCAGAAGCAGTTGCTGCAGGGTGTTTCCTGGTATGGGGGTTGGGGGGGGCATATTTTCCTGCACAGCTGTGAAAGGTTGCTGTGCAGAGGAGCAATCATACAGCTTTGGAAACAGCAAGGTAGATCATTTTGATTTTTGTTTTACTTTCACCATGCAGCCACCCACTGGCATAATTCTAGGGTTGCCGCTGCCTGCCAGAGCTCCCACTGACTATTTCCCGGCGTGGTCTCACAGTCTCGCTCAGGGGTCTGCATTGCCCCATCTTGTTTTCTCTTCTTGCTCCTCCTGGTGCTCCTGCTCCTTCTGCCCTCCTCTGTTGCTGTCTCTTCGTTTTGCCCCTGGCCGTCCCCTTTTTGCAACATTCTTTCTTCTTTTTTCTTCTCAGCTTCACTTTGTGCCAGCGACTACCTAAGTTACTTGGGATTTTAATTGTTAGTATTTTCTGACAGTTGCAATTTTACATTCTACCTGAACTACCTGGGTGGGCTAGTTTGTCTCTAGAGCAGGACATGCACTTAGCACAAGTTTGAGTGTAATTTACTTTCTCTAAAAGGATGCAACCCAAACTAGCCATTCTGCTGTATCTTCAGATGAGAGAGGAGGGGGGGGGAGTGGACTTGAGTCATAGCGTAACAGTTGCATACTAGACTAAAGAAGGAATGTCCTGCCATTGCAAATGAAATGTTAGAAGGGAGAAGACTTCTAAGAGGAGTTACAATGTGGAAGCCTTTGAAATAGAACAGTTTTTGACATCTCTTGGGATGAGCCAGGTCTAAAGCTCCATGTTGCTGCCAATGCTGGGAGTCTTAGGTTGGATTATGAGGTCAGTCTAGACGGGGGCCTGCCTGCCTCAACTTCCATCCCCTGCCATTTCCTCTCTGTTCCCTGACAAAATAATTTCTCCCCAGATGTTTGTTTATTTGTTTCTTTTCTCACTCAAATTAACACATCAGCCTACAAAGTTCTCTAAGGTTGTACTGCCCAACAGCAGAGCTACCAGCCACAGGTGACTGCTTCAATCCAAATTCATCAAAGTAATTAAAATGAAAAACTTCAGTTCTTCACACTGGCCCTGTTTCAGGTGCACAAGTAGCCTCATGTGGATGGCATTGGTGGAGAGCACTGACATTCTCACAAAGCGCTATGAAACGGACCCTGCTGTGTAAGACAGGCCCAGGATAAACCCACTTGTGATGCAAGCCTGATGCCCGATGCCTGGCATGTCACCCTCCAGCTTTGTAGGAAAATTCCTCTTACCACCCTGGGATCTAAGGTCCATGAGATTTTCCTGTGTGTCAGGATCTCAAGATTTGGCCTAAGAGCATAGTAGCAAGGTAGAGGTATTTCCTTGCTCTGCATATACCCAGTCAGCAAGTTCTGACCAACTGCTTCTTTCTGTCTTCTTCTGCTTCTTCCCTTGGTCACTGTGACAGGACGGAGTCAGTGGCCGAGAAGATGTTGACCAACTGGTTCACTTTCCTCCTCTACAAGTTCCTCAAGGTAGGATAGGATATGGTTGTATGTCCAGTCCTGCTGTGGTCCCCTTGTCCTGGGCGTGAGCCTTCCTCCCTCTGGCCTGCCTTATTTCCCTCCATGCCCTCCGCATCCATACTCACAGGGGCCTGGTGCTTCTAAACCCCAAGAAGTGTAATAACTCCTTGTCATAAACTGTCTCAGAAGACAGAGCCCATGATCAGTCCTAGCTTCAGAGACACAATCCCACACAAGACACAGGACATGTCCTCCTGGTGACAGACAGATGGCCTCTGGCAGCTACATCCCCATTTTAAGCTGAAAACAATTCACCCACTAGTGCCCGAGTTCCTCTCCCCTCTCCCAGCCTCAGACTTATGGAAGCTGATGAGGATCCAGGTGGGTCTGGAAGCTGCCTAACTCAGCAGATGAACTGAGGCTATGCTGGCCAGAGGAGAGTCTACTGGGCTTCTAACTATAACTTGTTTCCTAATTATTTCGTGCCGTGGAGAATTGACCTCTGCCTCCTACTTGGGGCTCAGAGAGCCAGGGAGAAGGAGTAGCAAAAGGGAGCCCCAGACAAATAGCAGGAAAGGGTAGAATAGGGGAATACTCTGTGTCCAAAGAGCCTGGGGGTCACCAATGTGAGCAGTGAGGAGTTGCAGAAGAGATAGCTGGGGCCCTGAGCAACGCAGCAGGTGGGATCAGGAAGGACCAACTGAGATGGGGAAGCAGAGACACAGGGCCAGCTCTGCACATCTGCTGTCCCGGAACTCTGCCAGCATGTTTCTTCTCACATCCAGGAGTGTGCTGGGGAGCCCCTCTTCTCCCTGTTCTGTGCCATCAAGCAGCAGATGGAGAAGGGGCCCATTGACGCCATCACGGGGGAGGCCCGCTACTCCCTGAGTGAGGACAAGCTCATCCGGCAGCAGATCGAGTACAAGACCCTGGTGAGCCACCCTTGCTGCTTCTTCCCAGACCCTGGCAAGTGGGCTTTGGCCTCAGGGCAGCCCTGCCCTGCAGAAAGGACAAAAACAATGCTGAAGAGCCATGTGTCTAGCTCTGTCCCCTGTGGGGGCCAAGCTAGGTGCTACCCTGTCCCCTCTCCTCAGACTTTCTCTGGACCACAGTCCCAGGGCATCTAGTGGGTCTGCCATGTCTGAGCAGCACTTCAGCTTGTGCACTGTTGTGGCTCCAGGCCAGGCACTGCGTTGTGAGGTTGGAGCCCCTTGGCAGCAGGGCTGACTGTTTCTAGTAAGCAACATCCCATTCCATCAGCTCTCCAGACTAGAGAATCAGCACTTTACAGAACAGGTGCCTGCAGGCAGGGGTGGGCAGGAAGAGGAGGCAACTACAAATAGTTCTTTGTGGTTCTGAAGCCCAGGTTTACCCACCAGGCAAGGTTCACATAGGGCTGTGACCAGCCGTGTAACTAGGATGGCCTAGTGGTACAAGGCATTTGCCCAGTGAACATGGGGACGCCCTGTATCAAGGTCAGGCTTCCTCCTGAGAGCAGCGATTGTCTTAGCAAGTAGTGGAGATCAGCTTTTAAGAGCCTGGGGTTGGAAACAGACCTAGATCTGAGCCCTCACTCTGCCTCTGACCAGTCAGATGAGTTGGGACAAGTCTCTAATCTCTTTGAGTTTGGGTTTCTTTATCTGCAGAAAGGGAATAATAATAGAACCTATTGAAATGGAGATCATTGCAGCTGTCCAGAGTGGAGCTGGGAGCCCAGTGTAAAAGTTCACTCCTGCTTTCTCATGGCCCTGCCTGCCTCCTGCCAGCATGGCTGTCCATCCAACCGCTGGCTTCCCACTTCCTCTCCAGCCCCAGGGAGCTCACTTTAAGGCTTTTTTGGGCAAGATTTTCTTAACCTCTCATTACACCATTTTTTTTTTTTTTTTTTAAGAAAGAGGAAGTAGAAGGGATAAGAAAATAAGATAAAAGCTGAGTGTTGGAGGTGGCATGCAGGTCGCACTCAAGAATGGAGGCAAAAGAGACAGCAAGAAAGTAAAAGGGACAGGGGATTGGTGGAATTAAAATGCAATTACCAGCAGGCAAGGGTGGGGCAGAGCTTGGAAAGACGGATGGATGCTCAGGCCCCCTTCCCCAACAGCCCCAGCCGGGGGTGAATCCCAGACCCCTGGCCATTTGGAGAGATCCCTACCTTTGAACAAAGCCATCCCTCCTGGCTGGCAGGCTGGAACCATGATCCATCCACCCTACTCACATCTTCCTGGAGTCCTGGGAATTCCAGCAGAATCCGGGCAGATTCATGGGGAGTGCCTCTCTGTAGGGATTCGGAGGCACCCCAGCTTTCTCATAGTTACTGTCTGCTCTGGAGGAGAGTTAGAGGCTCCCATTGAAATGGAAAATGGAGAAAAAAACTTTCCAAAAATAGAGCACAGTGGATTTCTTAATGAGAGAGTGCTACCTTTAAAAGTCTCCTGCCCCATCCCCCTCCACTCCCTTTCTTTGCCTTCTCTCAGCTTGGCCAATACTGAATGCAACACAATGACTTGTGATAATGCTCTCTCACCAAACTGTAGCAGCCTTTATTCCAGAGGCCAGAGGATTGTTGGTGTACCCAGCTGGTTCCAGGTGACTCACTTAAAGCAAAAACTGGAGTGGGTCACGGCTCTGCACCCATTAAGGTGCCAGCACTGGGCTGGAAGCAAAACAGGAAGAAGCTGTGATGGTTTTGCCCAGAAACGACACCGTGCAGGGAGATTTACTAGTCCCCTCCACCCCTGAGCAAGGTGCCCCCACCCACTGTGAAGAGGGATGGAAGAAGGTGTGGGCATCCTGGCAGGCAGGGAAGCAGGGACTCCAGAGAGGATCAGATGCAAAAATGGCCCATGGCTGGCTTCTGTCAAGGCTGGAGGAGCCCAGAACTCTTTGAGGCTACTGATAGTGACCTTGTCCTGGGCAGGAGGGATAACCATAGAGGGGCTCTGAGAGGCTCAGGGGCACGCTGACTGTACTTCCTAAGCATTGAGGGATTAATTAGATTGATGCTAGAATTTGACTACCAGGGACGAAGGCCCTGCTGATGGAAGTGTGCCAGGGCCCTTGTCACCCATACCTGGGAGCCTGGTAGGCCGAGATGCCCACTGGGAGCCTGCTGGAGCACTGTAGTCACCAGGAAGCCGCCTAGAGTGCTAGATGCCCACCTGGGAGGCTGCAGAATCTTATCCCTGCTCCCAGTGTCCTAGGTCCGTCTGTGCCATGCCCAGTGGTTCCATCCATGTGAGGAACGCTTCTCTAGTAGAGAAAGCAGCAGTCAATTTGTTCAGAAAATAGCCAAGAAGCAGGGTAGGAAGGAAACTCCTGAGTGAGTTGTGGTGGGGCCCTTGGCCAGGGACACTGTCCTTCTGGGGTCACTGCTTACCCTCCTGACCTGAAGCACACTGTGGAGCTGTTCTCATGAGGCCACCTCAACTGCTGGGGCGGCAGAAGTGCCAGGAGATCAACCTCAGGTGGCAGATCATGGTCTCTCAGGGGAGAAAGGCCAGATAATTTGTGTTGCTGCCTTGGGAAGGCTGAACTGTCCCCCACTGGCCCGGAGGACAGGATAGCAGGGCACCACAGCAGTAGGAAGAAGGATAGGGTTGTGCATGGCTGCTGAGCAGGGGAGGGTGCTGGAATGCTCTTGGACAGAGGGCAGTGGCTAGCAGAAGGTGCATGAGGAAGCACAGTCCAGAGATCCTGCCACCAGCTTTTTCAGTTTAGGGGATTTCAAGATTGAGCACTTGGTTTTATAGATGTAAGGTAATTGTTTTCTTCTTAATGCAATAAGCATGTTCCCCATTTGAGCTCAAGCAGTCTACTTGCTAATGAAAGACAGGCATCCAGGACCAGGTCCTGATTATCACCACGTGGGGTGGGAGGAGGCTGCTGTTTGGTTCTGCAAACCAGATGGGGCCATGGGAAATGGCTATGGGAGGGGGTGAGAGGGAAGGGTAGACAGGGAGGCAGGCAGAGGGCTTGGGCTCCAGAGGGAGAGTCTGGGGCCCAGAATGGCAGGGCCACCTGGCAGCAATCCCTAGGAAGGGAAGGCTTCTCTGCCTGGCTCTTGTGCTCCTACTCACTCCTGTGGCCCACAGCACCTGCCCTGGTCACTGGCATCCAGGAGCCCCTACAGTGACATCAGTGTAGAAAGAGCCCAATATGAGAATGCCAGGGGAGAAAAAGCCTTGATGTTCTTAAAAGAAAAAAAAAAATTGGTGACCTGGGATTTTAACTAACTTCTCTGCTTTGTTCTCAAAAGAGAAATAGAGGTCTCAAGCCAGGCAATGGCCTTGTTCCCTGGACCTCTGAACATGGCTGGAGGTTCAGAGCCAGGAAGGCATCTCAAGGGGCGTCAACCTGCAGTTTTTTAAAGGGCATCTTTTTATGTTTAAAGAATACATTAAACTTCATATAGTTGCTCCAGCCTTCTATCAGTCCCAACCCCTTCTCAAAATTAGAGCTATTATAACTTTTTTTATTATTAAAACTTTTGAGACGGAAGCCCGATTCCCTTTGGTACTGAGTACTGAGTGACTGGGAGGAAGTGTGAGGAGGGGCAGAGTGATGTGCAGGGATGGGGGGGGGACTCCGAGGTGGGTGAGGGCGTGCATGCGCTGTGGAGCTGGTGTCCCCTGCATGTGCACATGCATGTTTGAGACAGTGTGTTGCAGATCCCCTCATTGCTTCCCTGTGCTCAGATTCTGTTCCCTTGGAAAAATCAGGATTTCAAGATGTTTGTCCTGATCAGAGTTAAGTGTGCAGTCTGTACTCCTGCAATGGCCCTGAGGCTTCTGCAGGGTTCTGCTTGTCTGGCAGGAGAGGGCAGTGGGCCTGGTGGGGACCCAGGTGGACTGGAGTCACCCCACCCGCCCCAGCCCATCCAGGAGAGGGCAAGCTGTTCTTGTTCTTCTTGCTGCCTTCACCCACGTGACCTCTCCCCCTCACCCCACAGGTCCTGAGCTGTGTCAGCCCAGACAATGCCAATAGTCCCGAGGTTCCAGTGAAGATCCTCAACTGTGACACCATCACTCAGGTCAAGGAGAAGATTCTGGATGCCATCTTCAAGAACGTGCCCTGCTCCCACCGGCCCAAGGCTGCAGACATGGACCTTGGTGAGTAGGATTCCCACCCACCCAGGGGCCGGCCCCACAGCTAATCCTGAGCACCTCCTGCCTTCTCAAGGCAGCAGGATGTAGAGATGGGTGCAGGGAGTAGAAGGGGAGGACCCCCAGGACCCCATAGGGTTTATTTCATGGCCTGCTTGGCATTGGCCAGAGCTGGTCCTAAGCGAAAAGGGGCCCACAGGTCACTTGGCTGTCCAGTGACTACCTGGCCTGGAGGGGATACCTCTGGGGTCTTCTGGGTGACTGAGGGCTGGGAGTGGATATGTCATATCTGAATGAAGGGACTCAAAGACCAAACTTGCCAATCTGAGTCCCTGGGGTCAAGGTCCTGCCACTACCTTTGTTGTCCTCCAGGCTCGTCCCCTCTCCTCTGTTCTGGGCCTGTAATTTTTGCTGAGTATCTACAGCTTGAGGGATCTGGGTCAGCTATAGAGAATGGAGAGAAAGGATAGAGAAAAATGAGGCATGACAGCCTGCTGGGGAGCAGGATGACAGTGTATTTGAATGTTCCATGAATAGATCACGTAGCCTATATAAACAAGGGCATGCCACTTAGGGCCAGCTGCACTTAGATCCAGTTATGGTTTGCCTGAGCATGTGCAGGATGTTATCCAGGGGCAATCCTCCCAGGGAGCCCCAGGCTCTGAAGAGGTGGGTAGAAGAGAGGCAGTTCCAGCATTGTGGGACACCTGGATTTATTTCTGGTGCCATTGAGTCCTGTGTGACCTCGGCCTGGTTCTTTAACCTTCCTGTGCCTTAGTTTCTGTGTCATATAAAGTGGAGGTCATAATAGTTCCTCCCTTGTAGTAGGAATCCCGTGGGGTGATGTGTGTAAAAGACTTTTTCTGCAGTCTTGGCCCATAGTACACACTTGGTAAGTACTGCCTGATATTACTGATTCTGAGAGTAAAGCAAGTGAGGACCCTGGATGTGCCTGTTTGTTGATGCTGGCTATGAGAGATGGGCATTGATTCCTGGCAATCCATGGGGTAGGGTGGGGTGGGCTGGGGTGGGATTGGGATTCCAGAGGCCCCAGACCCCTCCATCCGGCCCCTAAGCTGGCTTGAGCTAAGCCATCCAAGACAGTTGGGGATTTGTGTTCTTTGCTAAAATCCTGAGGAAATTTTCACCCTCTACCCCAAGCTGCTCCACTTCCCCAGGATTCTATTACCTAAAGATTGTTAGGATCAGGAAGTTCAGCTAACTCCCTCACAATCTCCCTTCTTCATTTACCCCTGTCTCTTCTTGCTCCACTCTGGGCTGATGTGTGTGGCCCTCTGCCCTGTGCAGAGAGAGGTTGGGTGAGCAGATATCCCCCTCCACTTTGGAGTTGTCGCTGAGCATATTGTTTTGGGGACATGGAGGAAGCAATGTGAGATGGGCGGGTCCAGGAGTTGGGTGGACATGTGTGTGTGTGCACCCAATTCACTCCTTCTGCCACAAAGACCTTGCAGGGTAACAAGGTAAGGGTTCTGTATTCCTTTCCCTGGAGAAGTCATGGGGTGCTCCCTAGTGGGTGGTCCAGGAAGAGTTGAGTGGGTTAAGCATGCAGCACCCACATTCCTTCCATTTGCTTCCTTTGTGGGGCCCAGGGTCAGGCACACTCAACTCCTCAGTATCCTTATCTGCAAAGCGGGTGGGAGGACTCTCCTGACAAGGGCTTGGAGGAAAAGCTGTTAAAAGACCAAGTGTCTACATGGGACAGTGAACTTTCAGAGGTGGTGCTGGAACATGGAAGGAGCCCCTGAGGGTGCAGGCATGTGGAAGAGGGTGCTCAGTACTTAGAATGAAATGACTTCCAATGGGGCAGCAGTGAGTAGTTCCATGTGCCTCCTTTACAGAACTGAGCTCAGTGGTCACTTGGGACAATGTCTCTGCCACCTAAGGGCAGCGAACAGCTGTGGGAGCTTAAACACCTGATGGAGCTTAGGAAAGGTTGGAGGCAGCATTCTTCAACATCACTTCAGTCCAGAGCTAAGAGAGTTCATCCTCTGGGAACAAAGTCAGGAGAGGGCCTTTCTATGCCTGTGGGTATCCTCAAGAGAGACCACATCATGTCTGGTGGCTGCAGCTCAGGACCAGTTCTCCCCATCCTGGGAACTCCCTACTCTGAAAATGGAAAGGGAAGATCTGTTTATTAGCTTAGAAAATTGCTCCCTTCATTGATCTGTGGCTGCAAAGCCAGCAAAGCAAGGCTTTGACGAGAAGATGCACCTCACCCTGCAGCCATAGTCACGGTCATCTAGGAGGCAGGTCTCCAGTGACACCACACTCACCCAGTGGCCCCTGCTTTAGGTCCCCAAGTACACAGCAAGTCTCCCTCTCTGCTACACATGCTGCTGGGCCACCCTCATAGTGGGGAGAGATACAGGAGAGAACCCAAAGAGGAGGTGCCTCAGTAATTTGGGCCTCAGGGGCCCACCACACAGAGGAAGGGCTTCAGGTGCCACTTTGGAAGGGCCTCCCTGCTCAACCTCCATGGCGACTCTTCTCACAAGTTTCCTGCTTTTTTCCACAAAAGCCAGAGTTGGGAGCCCCCTCTTAAACCTTGGGCTTTCTTCTGCCCCAAGCCAGATTGCACAATAAGGAAAACAAAGTCCTCTCAGAGACTGCACTGCTTCTTCCACACACTTCCGGCTCCTGACTCCCCATGAGGAGTGGGGCAAGAAGAGTTACTCCTACCTCGGGGGTGAAAGTCTTTGAGAGCCTGAAAGCAATTTATAGAGGAAGAAGTGATTACTACTACAAATTAGTGTACACCGCAGGCCACCTGGCATACAGGCACAGAGAAGCTCCACCCAACCCAACACACTTGGCAGAGGCAAGACAGCCCCGTACCACACATGCCATCCCCTGCCATGCCTCCTCTTCCCACAGCTGAGGGCCTCAGGCAGAGCCTGGCACCCCTCTCCTGGTGTTCAGACCCTACAGAGGCACAGTGAACTGCACCAGGTCAGCTCAGAAGGAAGCAGTCACCCTAAGCTGCCTTTGTCATTGTCCCAAGGAAATCGAGCCTCAGCTCCCTGTCTGCCTGGCCTGGCTTCAACCCCTCCTGTCATCATCATGGTGGCCCTGCCTGGGCAGCTCCTCCTTCCCAGTGTTGCATTTATGCTCCTGGTTCAGAGATCGCCCACCCCTGCCTCCACCCCTACCCAGCCTTTTCCAGGCAGGAAGGAACCATGATGTTACGTAGGGCTTTGCAGGCTAACGGAACTGGGAGGATGTGTACACATCACAGTCGCCAACTTCGTGGGTTGATTTACTGTGTTTTAACTTCATGATGGTGGGAAAGCATACCCATACAACTATTCTATTTCCCTCCTTGTGGCAAACTGTGTGCCAGGCCTGGAGGTACCAATAAGACTAGATGTTTGTCATTTCTGACCACAGTAGCAGAGGCAGGCCATTGTACTGTCTGAGCTGGGAGATGGTTTTTGTCTCCTCCTTTCACTCCCTGAAGGAAATCTTTGTTGCCACTCACTTTCTTGCTCAGAGGAGAATGTGCAGCTCAGAGAGGCACAGTGCCTGGGCCAGGCCATACAGCAGAAAGGTGGAGAGAACACCCATTCCCTCCACAGGCAGTCTCCTCCGTGGCCTCTTGTCTCCTTCAGCTACTACCCCTGACCTCCAGAGATTCCTCCAGTTTAATGCAAATGCTCTATCAATAGGCCCCGGAACTCTGCCACCCCCTCTCTGTCTTGCCACTCAGGTCACACTGAAAGGATATATTTTTTCAAATAAGTAATTCCTGTATGCAATAAAAAGATACACTATCTTCTGAGTGAAATATAAAGAGTTCACAGCAGCTGTCTCCCCAGTTTGCATTTTCCGTTGCACCTGATGGGAAGGACAGATAAAGATAATGGGATTTTTTTTCTTCTTCTTTTTTATTTCACCTCCCTTTCTCCCTGGAAGGTACAAGTGTAACAAATTGGATCGTGAGTGTCTGTCCTTTGTGCCTGGTGCTTGGAGCAGGGCATGGGGCTGCCAGGCAGGAGCTGCTTCCAGAGGTCAGAGCTAGCTATTTTTTCTTGGTGTCATTTCTCATGCATATGAATTCCAGGTCACCTTTCCTCCTCCTACTGCCACTACCTACCTTTTTAACTCTTCTTTGACCCAACACACTGATTTCAGCCCTGTACTCCATATTCAAGACTATTCATTGAGCTATGTCTAGTGTCTCTCTTAAGTGAGCTTTACCTTTTCCTCTCCAGACATCTCCAAAGAGCAACACCTAGCTAGTTCGCTGCATTTCAGTTTACAAAGACCTAGTCCCTTAAATGCTGATGATGTCCTCTTTAGGAAGTGCAGTGTCAAGTTTCTTCAATTTAAGCAGCAACTGTCATAATTCAGTCATTTTATATTTGAGAACTTGCTTTATTCTTTTATTCATTTTTTATAACAACATTTTTGATGGTCAGCTCTCAGTGCCTGGGTCAATCCTCTGACCTTTTCTAGCAGCCTATTGGACCTTCTCCTGGCTGCCCTCAGATCTTCTCTGGTTCCTGCTCCTCTGGTTGCCAGGAGCTAAAGGTGTCAGGAACAGGCAAGGTGTCTCCTTGGGGCTCAACTGCTGCCCGGTGTGTGGAGCCACTAGGGTCCTGTGTGTTGGACCAGAAGGCCCTCCTGGGAGGACCTGCTTGTAGGGCCTGAGATGAACAAAAGGTGAACTGTGAAGTGGGCCCAATGTGGATCTTAAGGCTGATTTTCTTGGGTTCACCTAACCTGGAGGGCCTTCTTCCTCCCTCTCCTCTGCCCCCACCCCCACCTTCTGAATCCTCCTGTCATAGGTCAGAGCAGAGCTGGCCACGAAAGACTGGAGTTGAGAAGAGTCTGTTACAAAGCCTGCTGGGTCTCCTATTTGGACAAAATGAAGGGTGCGTGCACATGTGAGTGTGCATGTGTGTGAGTGCCCATGCACCCAACTGCACATGTCCACCATGAGGACCACAGTTATTGAGGAGCTGTGTTTACCTTTCACAGCACGT